ACCTGCATCTAATTAGGAATGAAGTCACCCTTCGGAAGTTTGGGTGACTCCCCTAGGGAGGATCCCGCCTTGGGACTGGGGCGGAACCGACTCGACCTCGGAGTCCGAACACCCAAACATGGCGGGATCCCCGACTTGGGCGCCGACGAAGCGGGAGTGCTGGGGGTACTTGACTTGGCGACCTTGGGGACCTTAGCGGTCGAATTTGCCGGTGAACGCCGAGGTCGCTTACCCGTCACCGCGGTGGGAGGTACTGCGAGAGAGGTCACGGGAGGAGCTACAAGATCCTTGAATATATTCGTGCTGCAAACCTCGTGCTCCAACTCTGCCATCATGAGAGCGTATCGGCTCTGGTAGTAGTCCATTCGCCACCGCAACTGCTCCGTCAGCAATCTCTCTTGCTGGGGTCCTTCTTGCAACTGAACCACGAGGTGGTTGGTGTCTTGCAGCTCTCTTTCGAGGAGCTTACACCGGGTGGTCCCGTAGTCGTCGGGAGCGAGGACGGCATTAGGTCGACCTTCGCACGCCTCAAGTCCTCGGCTATATGCGTCTAGACGGTCTTGTAGATCGCACAGAACCTGAGGCATGTCTACGGGACCACCCATCGCAGCCGGAGGAGCAATCGACGGAACAACGGGCGAGACATAGATGACCGTCCCCACGGGGTCTACCACAGAGCTAGAGGTCGACTTAGGGTCATCCACGTCAAGGGAACCCTCATCACCTACGACCTCAAAAGGAACCGCTGTGGACTCCCTTGGCCCGGGCACCTGTAGAGGAGTATCGATAGGCGTTCGGGAGGGAACCTGGGACTCTGAGTCAGCGGCAAGTACAGGAGTGCCCAAGACCGGCCCCTCGGCCGTCGGGTCTACCCCAGAGGAAGGAACAGCTGAGGTGCATCAAGTCAGAAAACGTATATCGAAAGGCCAAACAAACAAAGAGTACTTACGGGATGGAGAAGTCGAAGACATGCGAGTGTTCAAGCGGCTGTAACGTTGATCAAGTGCAGAAGGTGGCTGTGGTGAAGCGATTCAAGAATTGGTAGGTTGTAGGACCGGTAGGTCAAAGAGAAGGGGAACCTCCAAGGAGGAGCGACCGTTGGGTAAAGGATAGAGAGACGGGGCACTAAAAGGGACGGGGAACGACCGTTGGATGAGAAGAATGTACGGTACAAGCGTGATTCATTCAGAGAAGTTACCGCGGCTAGGCCGATGGACCGCGGTTCCTCGAGGTGGGCCCCGGTCTTCCAAAATAGACCCCGGCCTATTATTGGTAGGCCTCGGTTTTTCATAAAGGTAGACCTTGGTCTTTCGGTCGGTGGACCCTCGGCCCCAGGGTTAAGAATCTTCCCTGAAGAGTTTGGTTATAAGTCCACCCTCGACCTAGTCGACCGAGTGGCCACCTACCCACCTACCAAATGAAGTATACCCACTCGAGGTACCCTAAGGTCGACCTCTCTCAAGGCCGACATCACATCTCAACCAAGTCCTCCGAAGAGTGCAACCCGCCAGCCGACGGGTACACAAGGATGAGAGAAGGTCTATACGTGTCGTCGGGGTACCCCCTCCGACAGTCGGCAGTCCGGCACAGTGAGTGGCTTGGGGTCTCATTACGCAGTTTTGAGAACCCACTCCACCACACAAACGTGCCGAAAGGATGCTCATTGACCTAACAAGAACAATTACTAGGTACAACTAAGTGAAGAACTGTAATTAGTGTAATTGAAGCCTTTTTGTAACGTATTCGTTTGACCTTCTTTAATTGCATTGAAGTGCAAATACATATTCTAGCTATTTGCTGGTCGTCTCATGATGTGAACAACTCACCCCGTTACATGCCTAATCTATGTATTTACAGCATGGAAGTCAGCAGTAGCGGCGCCACGCGGTCTCGACCACGTCAATCAGGCGTTGTTAATTTTTGTGCTCATCGTAAATTACAGATCTCTGAAGACTTGTTATGGCACTCGGTGCAGCTCTCACAGCGACAGTCAGATATACAGATTACATTGTTATTGCGTGTGCTTTCGACTGCAAAGGCATTCGAAGAATCACTTACGCGTAACTATTTGATACCGATGAACAAGCCAATCCTGTTGCAATTTGACATGCATACCAGAAAGCGATGAGACAACACAGTTAATGAGTAAGTGAGTTAAAGAAATATTGGGGCAAACCAGGAATGCCAGAAAGTAAATTGTGCTTTATGCTTTCTTTTTCTTCTACTTGGCACGCATGTTTTATCCCATCTGTTACGGGGTTGCTGTTGTTTTAGAGGCAAATACCGAAGTGATATATTGATGTAGGTTCTTGGCTCTTACGCCTACCATGTTACATCCAGGCCCAATTTCTACGAGCCGTTTTCATTGACAGGAACGTTATCGTACCTACGCTATCCCATCGCCTTATAATGATCTTCTGGTAATCAGTCTTACCTGCTGACAGCTGCACCACACCTAAAATGCAACATACACTTACCTTATGTTCCGAAGAAAGAGAGTCACGGCCGGTGACCAACACGATTGGATTGAAGAGCATATATTGTAGCCGAGCTACCGAAGCAAAGCTACTTTACGCACTAAGAGCAGAGGAAGATAAGCTCTACGAGATTTTACGTCTTACGGTTACTAACTCTTACAAGGCTAGCTTCACAAGCTTGTGTCTTCTTGGTTGTGTATCCAGCGTTTCTACAAGACCAGTATCACGGATATAAATTCCTTTTTAGATACTATTCCTTATCCAAGAACAATTCTCTAAGCAACAAATGCTTACCATAGTAGGTTTAAATCTAATTTATTTCGTTTTACCTTCTTATAGAATGATCAATTCTACACTTTGTGCTAGCCACTATATCTATTGATCCTGTAGCCTTTCTACTATATATACAAATGTAACTACAGTATTTAACCAAGTACTATGACCACGTGCCTTCGTGCCCCGATGTGAACCCATTGCACCTTAGATACGATCACACCAAAGAGGATGTGAATCCAAAGTACAGCCACACCAAAATGGTGTGGCAGGCGTAGAATACACACCTGTGTGCAACTTCTGACAAGGTACACCGCATATGTATATTACGGACGCACGCCCTTGTCGGATCCGCTCGCCACGCTCACTTTCCTATCTAGCTTGTGTCACCACTATAAAAGCGAGGACGTTGCTCTATGGCAGGACAGCGCTGGTAGACCTCTAACACCAGGACCCGGAAGCTTAACCTAAACGCAGTAGAGAATTGAATGGTGACTTACAAGTTGATTTTGCCACACCTTTTGTAAATTTAAGCTAAAATGCGTTGAATCTAGCACACAACGGAAATTTTCATCCATATATACAGGTTTTCATTCGTCATTACTAACGGAATCTCGTTTGATTTTTCTAACAGTTACTTAGATATTTCAATTCACTGTTTACTATGTCAAATTTCAAATACCGCTTGATCAAGACGCTGATGCGATCGGCATCCAGCGTTGCCTCTTGTCATTACGTCAGACTTTAAGTACCGCTTAATCGAGACACTAATGCAACCAGCATACCGCGTTGCCTCTTGTTATTACGTCAGACTTCAAGTTCCGGTTGATCGAAACGCTAATGGATTCGGCATCTAGCGTTGCAACTGGTTATTGCGAAAGACTCAATACCGCTTCATCGAGACGCTGTGACCAGCATCCAGCGAATCACAAAGTGATTGCAGTAAGTGACACCCTGGCTTTCAATTTACGGTAAGCTTGTTAGAAGCTAATAGTGCTATCAGCGATACAGCAATCCACATCTCAGCGCAAAAATTCTGGCTGCGCTGAAATCTACAGGCATCTATAAAATCTTAGCTGCGTGAGGCTAGCAGTAGATTGGAATGTCAAAAGTGATGGTGCTTGACCACCGGAACTGCCTAGGATTTTAGCTCCTCCTTAGCGTGAAGCCAATAGAATACCTAGACCATTGTAGCTTGTCTTCCTTCGACAAGCACCAGAACAAAACCTAAGTGTGGTTTTGACTTAACTCTCTCTAGGTCAACAGGTGTGGCGCCACCCTGAAACAGGGGACAGTCAAAGATTGTCGACCTGGATCGTAAATATATTTTTTGAGGCTTCAAGAAGTGATAGTTGAAGAGGTCGAAGTTCAACTCCGCTACGCTGATCAAGCTGATGCCCTGATCATATCCGTGGAACCTTTGTCTGAGGAAGTTGGCAGTATCGATCGGGGTAAACCGGGGATCCACCGATTGCAAGGCACCTTTGTCTGAGGAAGTTGGCAGTATCGATCGGGAGGAAAGCATCGCCGACGATCTTGCGGGTGTTCACTGGAGATACTGACCAGGCCATCCGAATCAGTAGGATCTTCTTCTAAATATACACCTTGGATACTTTTGGAGGCATAATCCGGGGAGACGTAGGAAAACTGTCCGAGTCCAACACGATCGGAGTAAACGATCCAAATGTAAAAAAGGCTACGGTGTCGGAGCGGTATCCACGTGGCGATGATGAAAAAAACGCGATCCAGATAATGCAGTAAGTGTTGACTCATGTAACACGTCGGAAGAATTACTGTCATTCATCGTCCCAACGAATACTCTATTCCTTAGGATACATATTTGTGCAAAGTGATATGGGTGGACGCAAGCGTCTTACTTTGAATCCAAGCTGTGACTAGAAGAGCCGAACATTTTCTTACCAATAGGGAAGCCCCGAAGAGCAAGAGCTAATCATTGCGTGCTACGTAGAATTACTAAAATATTGTCACCACTCAGCCTGACTTCGCTAGCGTACCCCATGTACTCTCCAGCGTAACCCCAGAGCTCTCAGTACTTATTTAGTGTACAAAACGGATAGTTTGTATGGATTAGTGATTAGTATCGTGATTCAGTATTTAAATACCTTTTCTCAACACTTTTCGAAGTAACCATCGCTACTTTTCTTTGTTGACATATGGAGGCTTCGAAGGAAGATGATGATGATCTTGAGCCTATAACTCATTTAAACTTGTTACTTTTCTCTTATTTATTTATCTGCTTCCAAGTTTCTCTAAAATTTCCTTAAGCAATTCATATTGTTGACGCTGCTGAATGAGCGACTCTTGTGCCAATGTTTGCATTTGATTCAGTGCAGCACATACTTGATACATTGTGTAGATGAACACTAGCATACCGACAATAATAACCTTTGGAAGAGGTGAATGAAGATCTGCCGGTATGTCAATGATCGATCCAACTTTCGTATGCAATAGTCCAGTTGATGGCAATCTCATTGGATCCGCATGATGGGGTGGGAAATTGTTCAAGGAGCTCTCGTCTTGTGTTTCAATCGACACCAATGGATCTGCCACCACGGAATGAACGGGACTGCTTTCATTTGATACCTTATGCTTCGTTGCATTAAGAGCTGCATCCAACCACGCTTTCACAGCGTCCTTAGCTTCGGAAACAGCGGTACTTTCAATCTGTATATGAAATGTTGCAACGATAAGTAAGTCGCGTCCCCATGCTGTCATGATCAAAATCTGATGACTTACCTGTTTCTTTAACCACGTGCTTTTCAACCATTGTACGTGAATCCCCACCTGTAATAAGCTCACACGTGGCTGTTTTGTAGCACTGAAGACCCATCGATGTTCAACGCGAAAGTAGTCGCAGTATGGTACATCGGAAATACACGTCGTTGTGCTCACAATGAGTTGACTGCCGGGTGTGTACGCATAGCGTTGGGTTTGAGATGTTGGAATGACACTGGGTCCTACCATGTACTTTTTGTTATGGGTATACGAAACCAACCGAGAAGCATCAAACGTGTCCAACTTGCTCACAGCTGTATACAAAATCGTTTTCTTTTCCCAAGGAGGTAATGATATGCCCGTCATGCCAGCAGCATGAAGCAGGTTACGAATGAAAGTGTCAGACTTGATCCATAATGTCGAGAAAGCAGTCTCAACGCTGTTTTTTTCAAAAGTAAGTTAGTTCAGATACTGACTGGATTAGCAAGAAACAACAATATCTGTAGGCTTTTCTACCTGAATGCGACTTCTTCGTCAAGGAGCAAATCAAATTCATGGAGCAAAACATCTTTGTCTGGAATCACAAGTGTTCCAGTTGATGCCATCGAATCCGAAAGATGCAACGATGAATCACGGTGACCCTCAGCGGGTGTTGCGTCTATCGTATCTGTAGAGGGTAGTTTATCACTTAGAGCAATAGCAGATAAGTCGTTTGACTTACTTCGTCGTCTTGACTCACCGCCTGGTTGCTTTGCTGTATCTGACATGAGCGCTTCAGTCTCTTTCTTGATGAAACGTAATTGCTGGATACTCAAGAAGCATTCATCACTGCACAAACGCGTATGTAAGAACGGTGCCGTAGGATACTCATGACTGATGAAACAAGAGCTTACCGAAATATGAATGAAGTGAAAAACACTTTCTCGCCTTTCACGGTGATCTGTTTCAATACGACATCAAGCGTCAGCACATAATCACCATGCAAACGAGCAGCATAAACAGTCAAGACATTCAACCTCAATAGCATTAGGAACAATCAGTGCTGTGTTCTTCTTTTCCATCGCTGTAATCTCTGAGAATGAAGCAACCTGTCATAATTAACAACCAAAGTTAGCTACATTCCCATTACCTGCTCCTCGCACGGAATAGGACGTACAAATATTGTGTCTCTCCACCCGGAAAAGCATATTCGGTTCTTTGTCAGATACAATCGTCCATGGAACGGAAAGTTAGACAGGAATAGAGCACATGAAAAACTTTCGACGACTTGCTCCGGCGAATCCAACTTCATCACAGTGAGACAAACAAGAGTGATCAATGCGCTCGTACATACTGGTTTCCAACAACTAGAAGTTGGCCTAAGGCCGCGATCAATTACCTTGAACTGCTTTTGAAAGTTGGAACCCCTTAAAGGCTGCGCTTCGGTATATTTGTCGTCCTGCTCCGTCCTAGACCTTTCATTATCGCTAGAGACACAAAGTTCGCCTGCAATGTGCTCCTTGGTCAAGGTGGTATCTTCATCTTCTGTCAGTGAAGTACTCGCACGCAAAGAAACTTTCTCAGATAACGACGAGGCACCATTACTGACAGCTGATGAACAAATGCTGTCGGTAGGACTACGAGGGAGTTGTTCTGCGTTTTCCGGTGACGATTCACCAAGAGACACGAGATATTCCTGCATGACTACACTTAGGGTGTCGTTGCCGTGGCACTTTGCCACGACTTGCTCGCTCTGTTCAACCGGTTGTCGGTTTATCCGAATAAACTCAGCAATGTCTTTGCTCGGGTCAATTTTTTCAAATTCCACAAGCGCCTTGTTTCCAACTGATGCGCCACCACACAGCATATGCTCAATAGCTTTGGCCAATGATTGTAGCAAGTTCTTGCTCACCTGAAGTCGATACTTCTCGTTTTCCATATATGTCGCAACGAGCACCTCGACATTCTAATGCATACGGGATCAGTGCTGACCAACTAAAACGCAAACAATCTGAAAACGAACCTGTGTATACGTTTGGTAAGTCTGTCGTATAGAGCTTATGCTATCGGCAAGTTGTGTTTGCAACAACCGAATTTCTAATGCAAGCTGCCTGAGCTTGGCTTCTGATCGCCGCTCTTTCTCGTTAAATGAATCCGTATTGATATTCAGCAAATTCAGGGCTTGCGTGGCTTCAATACCGTAGGAATTAGTGCTCACACGCGCTGACCCTGGCAAACAGGAATAGCCCGTTACAAAATCCTGGGATCTCGTATCAAGTTTTTGCTGAAGCCTTTTGTGTGCAGCTGTTTCATTGCATAGTGTTGAGTGCATCTTCAAGAACTTTTCCTGTGTTGAAACTCGGATACTCTCGTACTCCCTTCTCATGGTGTCAAGCAAAAGCGACACGGGCTCGGCAAGTAGCGATTTAAATTCCTACGTAGCAGGCCCATCGTAAAGCTAAAGAAAAAAGAGAAATGTGAAGTTGTAGAACCGCGTACCTGATGAACTTCCAAGAGAAGTTTCATTTGATCCTTCACTGTCATCCATCCATTCGTCATCGTTGCACCTTCATCGGCCAGGAAGTTTAAATGTGTGTTGAATGATGATGCACTAAAGAGATCGGAAGACGTAAACAGACCACCTTTCTCATGAGCCCGGAGTAATTTGCGCAGCGACTGCAAAAATCGATTTTCACTAGTAATAAGCGCTTCAACAGCTGCATTGATAGTTTCTATCATACGATGACCATCATCTGACATCGCTTGGATACGCGTCATGCGAAGATAAAAAGGATTGATCGACAGATCTGCTCGATTATCACCTATCTTCTCTAAGGTTTCCAGACTTTGAAAACCTTTCTTAATATCAGCTACATCAAACATGTGAGCTACGTTAGCGCTAACAATAGCTTCCAAGTTCGTCACAGTCGTCAAAACATTGCTTACCCAATTCATCAACTTCGTCAGCACTTACTTTCATTTGCCCAACGAACTGTTGAGATCGTGAAAACATATCCACAAACGCGTTTTGCATTCGCATGAGAACATCTCGAATGTATGCAAGCCGCTGTTCTTCCGTCAGCTGTAATGCTTGCAAATTTTCGCTAATCTTCTGCTCAACAATAAGACGCTGCACATTTGTGTATTCCACAGTCTGAATGTAGTGTTTTTCTGCGGCGATAACCTCTTCAAGACAATTGTACAACTTGGAGCGTTGTCGTTCGAGCGGGTTGCGTCCAAACGCAGACGTGGTATCCCACATTTTCGTCAGTAGGTGCCCAGCACCTGCTGTCAGTTTATCCGTCAGTTCCTTCGAGGCTGACGAGTCACCGGACGACGAGCTGGCATCTGTCGATGGCATGTTGTTATTTCTCCGCACCGTTGCAATCATATCAATTGCTTCTTGGCACTTGCGGTTATACTTTTCTTTTGCTTTGTCCAGCGAAGAAAACATTTGCTGCTGAGCCCAGCGCATCTTGGTCCCCTCTAGCGCAGCACAATACACAAGAAAAACATTATCATGATGAAGTGTGTCTACATCCATGACAAGTCCACGCATGTAAGCAAGCAAGTAAGCTACAACCAAAGCAAACCTTTAATCAGTCGCTGAACCTGAATTTCCTGCTGTGCCACAAAGGCCTTTGCACCAGGTATAATAGTCGTCTGCATGGTCGATGCAAATGCCCATCGTTCTTGAGCCAAATGCTCAATGACGTCTCGAAACGTTTTCCAACACTTTGTAAGTTGTTCTGACCAATCTTCAACCTTTGCAGTCCTTAACAGTAGCAAGAAGAAACAATCGTAGCAACGAACAAGTTAAAGCAAAAAAGTCTGCAACAACTAACTCAGTACTACTAAGTCAATAACAGTCTTCTTTCTCACTGTGCAAGCTTCAGCAATGCATGAGCATAATTCTTTTCCATTCCTGCACGCTCCGTAACAAAAGTTGCTACTGCATGACACAATTGAACGCCACTTTTTGCCTTTTGACAGACGATGGGAAAAGCTCGAGAAAGGTCTGTTGAATACGTGCCTTGACTCTGAAAGTTAGGGTATGAAGACGCCATAGTATTATCTTCAACATCAGCGAGTGAATCATCATTGTCACTTGATGGACAAGTAGTACTGGACATTGTTGTTGCAGCAGCAGCAGCAGCACTAGTGGAGATTATACGTCAGAGCTTGTTCTCTGTTTGGAATATTCCGTGATATCTGCTCTCTACTTTACTGTCCTTTGTCTATCTGCTATGATACTGCACGGATAAAAGGAAGAGAATTGAGAGTGAATGGGGAGCAAGAAAAAGACGATAGTACGTACGCACGCATGAATGGGGGAATGAAAAAAGAGCTTTGTCACGACGCACTGGACTTGAGGGTTTTTGAATAGTTTGTAATCACTTGATTGACAACTGAACTTGTCATTTACCAATTCGTAACGTAAAGACTCTCGAGATGTTAACTGTTAACATGTTATTCAGCCATTACACTAGTGCCTGTCAAGACCAACCCACATAGCAAGAAGACACAACGTGACGCACCACGCCATGCTCCGTTTCAACACAATACCATCATTACTTAGTACTGGGCCTTCTTGGCAGCCTCGGCAGCAATCGCTTTCTCACGCAGTTCCAGCTTCTTCTGGGTCTTCAAGCCCATGATGCCACCACCCCATTTACGACGGTGCACCGTGTCGTCGTTAAACTTGCTGCGGAATGTCTGCGTCAGTGAGTCAAATTTGGCCTTGTCTTCCTTGTTCACGTGCGTAAGCGCTACGACAGCAGCGTTCTTCTGGTGGACAAGTTGACCCAAACGAGCCTTACCCTTGACAATGCAATAAGGAATGTTGAACTGACGGCAAAGAGCAGGCAAGAACACCACGAGCTCAATGGGGTCCACGTCGTGGGCAATAACCACAAGCTTCGCCTTCTTGTTCTCGATCAACGACGTCACGTGATTCAGACCGAATTTCACGACAGCAGGTGGAGCCGTAGCTTCTTCCTTACCAACGGCAATATTGCGTAGTCGCAAAGTCTTAGCCGCCTTGGTCTCTGGCTGGTATTTGAGCAGCAACTTGAACAGATCCGTAGCAACATTCTTTTCCACAGTGTTCGAAAACTGATTAATCGAAGGTGGCACCTTCAGACGCTGGTATAAAACCTTGCGCTGACGCTGAATACGCACGTAACGCGGCCAGCGTACGAAGCGAGACAGGTCACGCTTGGGCTACATTAAAAAATATATATACAAACCGACAAGGAGTGAGAACAATGAGGTACGTAGACAAAAGAAGCAATTAGCTGCCAGAAAACAAGTGAGCTTTTGTATGACAAGACGGTAGAAAGCAAACTGTTCTTTACCCTCGAGGTGCAACATATCGCAAGCGAATAATATTACCACCACGAGTTTGTGTCATTGCGGTCGTGGAGGACCCGCTACACTATTTTCTAGTGAGACAGAGAGAGTAGACCAAGGCTACATACGTACGTACGTACATACATACTACGTACGTCAAGTATTCTTTTTATTCTCTCTCTGCCATCACCAAAAGGCGTGAAAATCGCTGCCTTGTATCTTAATGAAAAGACGCAAGCATTCAAGCGATAGAATGAAGACATGGCACTTCAAAATACCTGAATGTCACCACCCTTGCGGAAATTCTTCGGTCTCGATACAAAGAGGGGATTCTTCTTCGACGCAGCTGAAACCTTAACAGCCTTGGTAGACTTGGTAGTCGTTGTCGTCGTAGTACGTTTAATCTTTTTAGTAGGCATGGTGGTGTCGTCGATGGCGAATAAAAGAATGGAAGTGATTGATACATCGGGTGGTGGTTTGCTTAAGCAGCATCAACAGCCAGTCATTCAATACTGAGTCTTTTCAGCCAATGAATGAGGATTGTTCATGCTCTTCGTAGCTTCGACTCGCAATTAAGTACGAACAACGGCAATACAAGATAATCGTTCATCATCTGTTATTAACTCTACACATTATTCAAACAGGTGCTATATAAGCTATAGAACTTGCATCTGAACTTGACTTAAGTCGATCTGCCATGACACTGGCACATAACACAGTACCGTGTATTGCGCGTGACTTATAAAGCCAAGTACGTGTAAAGTCGATCATACACATCAGCACCGCGACGTAGCACTTCAGTTTTCCACAAACTGCTTTGGTGCAGATAAAATACGTCCCTGAGCTTTTGTGCATACGGTAAACGGTTCACAGACGACGGCATTTGATGATACATGGTGTTCTCTTCAATTAGAGCTTTTAGAATAAAAACTCCAGGCACGGTCCCGAATTCTTGACACAACAAAAGCGCATTTCCTTTAGTTCGTGGACCTAACAGACTAGCCACACCATCAAAGGTAAAACCACCGACACCATCGTAGCCGCGTGACACTGGATTGTCATTGTCGTGCACGAAAACCACTTTATCTGTGTACTCCGGACCAGTCAAGACATTACGTGCAACTGTCATATTGCTGCCTGCCCCAAGCATAAGCGTGTCAACGCCAGCAGATCCAAGTCCAGTGTGTACGTCAATCATTGCAAACTTCGTTACGGCATCAAAGTCCACATGTTTTCTCAAGAATGTCTGTAACAAGGCCAAGCTGGGTTCCAGTTCCGTTCCACCGTAATACAAGGTTTGCGGAAAACGATAGTTTCCACTAATAGTCGCTCGCTTGATTGCATCAAATCCTTTTGTTGCTAGGTTTATGACAGTCTGCACCCAAAACCAATTTATGATCCTGCTCAATTCTTTTGGGTTCAGCAGCTCATAGACGTCCATGTATCCAAGTTGATTCGGATCTCTTGCTTGGCGCTCCTTAAACTTCTCCGGAGTGAGCCAATTGCGGTTCAAGTCCACGCCATGCTCGTTGAATCGCCGCAATCGAGCAAACCCATACGCATTAAGTGCGTGTACAAAAATCACAGTTGGTTTGTATTTGGAGGAGCTTTGGTTCACTGCTGGTTTCTCTAGCAAAGCCGCCTGGATGGCGCTTCCTGCAAAACCTTCGACACCATGTGTGCCTGAAATATGGAGCAAAACACGCTCACTTGATCCTGGTAACACGGCGACATCCACTGTCAAATCCAATGACTTTAAATGGTCCAACGGTAGCGAGAAGAGTTTTGCACCTACAGCCTCAGCACGAGTGCGGAAAAGCGCTCGCGCCGTATAGTATGAGTCACTAAAGTGGACGTCAATACTGTTGTTAACTATGGGGGAAGGAATATACGAGTCCAGTGGCACAAAGTCGTTGTAAACGTGAAGAAGCAGCACTAATAGCAGGATTCCGACAGCTCCACGCATCATGTTGGATTCTACCGACTGTTTTTACCGGTATTGCTACGGTCCTCAATGGTACACTTGGGTGGTACAGTTGCAGTCCGACGTTTCACTATTATATTATCAGACTGTTTTGCTCACTAAAGGAAGATAGATAGACACAAGTGTCGTCACTTGTTTATTTGCTTGATTGTACAGTGAGACGTACCATCATGGGTCAGCATTGCTCATGTATCGAACACTCAACAAAACATGAAAGACGGAAGTCTGATGACGTTGATAACGTGGACATGGAGCGAGGTGACGAGGAGGATGGCGATCAGGAGCTGGAGGTACTGGTAGGTCAGGATCATACGCAGGAGATCCACGAACTGTGTAGTACCCGAACACGAACAAATTCTAGTTGCCGAAGCAATCAACGAGGATTAGTAAATTGGACTGGATCTTCTGTTGCTTTTGGATTGATAACAGACGTAGACAAGAAGGAAGAAGATGAAGAAGAGCAAGAAGAGGAGAAGGAAGAGGAAGAGAAGTATAGGCGGCGCTGTGTCAGCACAAGATTGATAGGGATGGATGCAGACTATTGTCCAACGCCATCATATTCACCGGAGGAATTGTCAATCTTGCTACGCTCGTATCAAGAAGTCACAGGCGTGGTAAGTGACTGCAGTTATTGAGCAAAAGACACATTGTTTCTTATCGGCAATTAATATCACCGGATTTGGAAATGTTATTTTCTTCAAGGTTGATCAAGGACAACTCGATCTTGAATGCATCATGTGCTTAGACACGTTTTCTCAAGTAAGTGCTGCATTGATTATTGAAATAATAATTGCTGTTCGCACTCTAATCTTGTGCTCACTGCTGTAGGATAACCCGAAGGTCCGCACGCTGTGCAGTTGCGGCATGAATCGCACAAACTTCCATATGAGTTGCTTGCTTGAGTGGCTCAATCGTGACACCAATTGCCCTGTATGTCGCGACTACCTCTTTTTCGAGGACTAGCAAGATTGCCTCACGAAAGCATCGGCAAGGCCGAACGTATGAGTAATTTGATGATGCCAGTCGTCTTGCGTCCCAGAAGATGAGTATTGTCGATAACAGTGGCAAAACTCTTGCAGCATTTCCAGCTGGGCATCGGTGGATATCTGCGCTATTTTTGATCAGGCTCCGGTGCAGTCGGGGGCTCCTTTTGACGGAAAGCCACTGGACATTCCAAATAATTCGATAGCATTATTAGTACCTGGTCTGCTATCAAGCTTTTAGCAGCTCGTCCAGTACCAGCAACAACCGAGTCCATAGTTTTGATTTTATATGTTCTCGCCACTAGCCCACACGACGCTCGACAAATTATGCCCGTCAATAAATTCAACATGTATTCTATCTGTTTCATCGACAACTGCCAAAAAAATGACAGAAACTCGTATCGCATTAAATCTTGTTCCAAAAACGGTCATGCCTTACGCTCTTATTCCGATCCGGTCTCGAAAGGCGTATGCAGACACGACTGCCACGACGCCAATCGCTACGGCAGTGACAACGACAGAAGTCTACAGCAAACATGTAAAATCAGCACGTTTAAACCGAACAAAAACAACACACTACTGGATGAAAAGTATCTGTACTACCTGCCAAAAGCCCAGCATATTGCCTCCTTTGCCTCGATCCCTTTGTAAAACAAATCACCACCGAACACAATAAGCAATGAATCGTTCACGACTTGATATAATCTGACAAACCTTGCTCGACGAGGAGGTAATGGTGGAACTTCCTTAAGCACAGGAGTTATCACACTAGGCCACGGTTGATACTCAAATGGAAACGTAAAGTAGTACAGGCCTGAGCTACAGCACACATTGCAAATGTCGTGGTCTTGATGTCAGGACTTGTTAAGCATAACGAATTAAAAACCATCAACAATGAGTATAGTAGAATCGTACAGAGAGACCAATTCAACTTCGCTTTGCTGACGGAGCTGTGCCGGGGGCAACTGGTGGAACAACATAAGAGCACGTTCGATGACCTTTTCAATTCCCATGGAAAGCGGCAACTTTGACAGCATTCCATGCATCGTGCCAAAATCGCGTTCGCATCGCAATATTTTCTCTCTTGACCCAAGCAAAACCTGCAATGGCGTGTTAGCGGCGTATTGGCGAACGCAGTGGATAACAGACCTATCCGTTAGCATCGCTACCACGTACGGATGCAGACACATAAAGACTGAACAGTGGGTGGGTCACGAGAAATACATCATACAGACGAGCAACATCTTCAAAGCGCTTGAGCTGATGCGCAAACCACGTGATCATCCATGGTAAAGCAAAAAATGGCTCCACCTACAGACATGTGTGCCCGAACTTGGTTAACATTGCGATCGATATGGCAAATCATCGAAAACACAATGGACGTACTCCCGACTCGTGCAGATGCTGGAAAAGCAGTTCGTCCGCCGCATCTAACAACGGAAAAAGTAACCGCGTGGTCGCCATGACTTGGTCCAATCCTGACCGCATTGGCTCACGCTGATACGTTTCACTAATATTCTGAACAACTTGTAATGTAAGTTTTGAATTGCCCAGCGTCAGTAAAAACACCGACACGATATCATGGTACCCTTGGAAGTAATGCAGCTCATTGTTTGCGTCCAGTACGCCTAATATCAGCTGTGTCAATGCACGACGCTTGTCTTGACGTTCACTTTCCTGTATTCCTTGCAAAATGTCATAATGCCATAAAGATCGGTCCACATCCTTTTCGACCTGTGCTGCATCCAGCCGCGTTTCTATGGAGTTGTTTCTAGTGTAACGTGAACCATTGAGCTCCGCACACGTATCGTCTTTGCAACCCAATAGAAAGGGCCAAAGGTCTCTCCGGAATTCGTTTGAAACCAAGCCCTTTGGTGCAATAGCAAGTTGACGCACTTGACAGAAACATTCATCAAGTTCTTCATCACTTGCAATGTAGCCATCAGCTTTCAAAGCACGCAGACGATGAACAACAAGACGAATTTCGTTCTCTTTTTCACGGATAAGACGACGCTCTCGTTTGACGAGTATTTCGCCTGGAATACCCTCCTCCACATAATGTCGATCATTTGTATGGCGTTTCTTACCCATGGATACAAATTGCAACGTGGCATGGAGATACCGTGACATGTACTTAGAAAGTACCGGTATTTTTGAAAAAGGGTACAAAAAAGACAGGAGGGCAAATGTTTTCGTCCAATCGTTATCGAGACTAATCATCGTATTTGATAGAAAAATGCTCGAATAAAAACGCTTTTACTTCTTGCAAATGGCTGTTGTTGATACATTGATAGCTTCATATTTTGAAAAAGTCGTGCGTCTTATGGAGATTACTGGATATTGACTATGAATAGAGAAAACAATTCAACTCATTCGAAAAATCGTCTTATTTAGTGCAATTATATATCATGTACGACCATCTTCTATCAATGCATTAAATCTCACAGTATATGCTCTGAGCTATATCATTATAAAACGTCTTTTGATACAAAACTCATTTGTAAACTATATATATTTATACAAGTTTACAACTCATAGGGTTCTGAGTTGTGACATGATATTTGTATTTGACTTTAGTATCCATAAACATATTCAGTTTCAATACAGATGTTGTCCGTTTGATATCAACTTGATATCACGTCCGACAGTCAAAGGTTCGGTTTTCTAACATCAAACAGACGATCACTCCCTCACGTCATCCACGATCTATCAGAGAATCTTGTACTAAACAGTAAAGAGACATTCTGAATCTCTCTGTCTCTCTCTACCTCACATCATTTACATACAAAATACAAGTACTTTTCTTACTCTTCCGTGCGATCGGCGATAAGAACGTACCTCCCCCCCACCAGACGGTAATCGAACGTGAGTTAGCCAGAACGATTTTGTCTTGTCCTAGAGACTCATTTATTTGCTTGCTCTCTCTCTCTCTCTCTTTCCTCCTATTAAGTCAGTCTTGAACACTCCGTCACTCGCGCAACATGGCGCGTTTTGGTAGTGATGGGGATAGTGACGATGCTATGCAGTATAGTAAACTATTACGTCAACAAAAGAAGCTCTGTGATGAAGCCATGGAGCTAGTAAATGCTGGTGTTGCATTGCAAAATGCTTCACCACCTGATACAGCGGGTGCTGATGCTAAACTCTCACGTGCTGTCACACTCATGGAACAAGCACTTGCAATGGAATATCCTACACAAGAAGAACGTGATGCAAGTCAACGTCTTAATAACAAGATGAATCGTTATGTCAAAATGATTCGTAGTCAGCGTGAGAAGGGCAATAGTGGTACTTCTGGCCGTGGACATAACACCAAGTACAATATTTTGCCCATGGATAGTTTACCATCGACGTATAATGCAGTAGTTGAACTACTAACAAAGTAAGTCTTTCTTTCTTATGATGACGATGATGAGTTTGATCATTTAATGATGAGTGAATGAAGTTATTGATTGACACTGTTTGTCTTTCATTTATGACAGTTCGTCGGCGGTTGGTGATGTCTTTGAAAGTCTCAAGAGCGCATTTGGCTTTCAAGAGGGTAATGTGACGAATCAGAAGGAACATGTGCTGCTCATGTTGACAAACTTTAAACTTCAAGAAGAAGATCCAAACCAAAAGAATGAGGAACATCATCAGCTAGATCGACAACAAGAATTGGACATGGCTAATAAGGGCACTAAGCGGTTCCATGCACGTATCTTTGCCAACTACATCAAATGGTGCAAATACGTGTCGACGAAACCTGCATTCACGAGCGACCCTGTTGTGGACATTGTGCTGTTTTTCCTCGTATGGGGAGAAGCGGGTAACTTTCGACAAATGCCTGAGTGTCTCTGTTTCCTACTACATACGTTACTGCCCCAGGCTTCGTCCCGCGGCGGTAGCAAGAACCCTGGCGATTTTCTTGCTGAGGTCATTCGCCCCATGTACAATGAGATTAAGAAGGATAACGACAAGAAAACGTCACAGGGTGCTCGAGCTCCTCACGCAGAGATTCGAAACTACGACGACTTTAACGAGTTTTTTTGGAGCAAGAAATGTCTGAAGTATAGTCCGACGACCATATGCGAGGCATTTGGTGAAGTTGACAAAAAGGGTCGCCCGAAAGTTATTAAAAAGAGCTTTGTTGAAAAGCGTACGTGGATACGCGCGCTGATATCCTTTCGTCGTATTTTTTGCTTCAACTGTGCTTTGTTCCTGGCCGTCTGCGGATTTGCACTCAACGTGGTCATGTATTGCCCCGACACACCTATCTTGTACGGCGCTGGTTTGAGCAACGGCAATTCTCGAGGCTTTACAGTCTTTGGCAAGAATTTTACGGCATCTGATGTTACTGCTTATGGATCAGGTGACGGCTCAACTGACAAATCAGGCTCTGGAGCAAGTTGTAACCATCAAATGTTGGCCACTTGCCTTGGCATGACATACACAAAAGGCATTTTTGAGAGCATTCCAATTGACTTCAAGGCCTTGCTCCAAGTTGTGCCGTTCACTGACTGTTTGGAGCAAACTACTGGCCGGTGCGGCTGTTATTTGGAACTTGTGGACAATTGTTTTTCGGAAACCGGGCAAACATTGAAAGTCACCGAAGACGAGCTCACGTTTTCATCATCGAGTGAATACGATCAGAGCATGTGCGTTGTGAACTGGCGCGCTGCCGTCGAGTCCATTATTAAGGAGCCTGGTCCAGGTAAGCTCAATTGCGAGATCTGTCAGTTGGGAATTAAGGCGTTGATTACGAACGGCAGGATTGGCGATTTGATTGGAGGTTTGTTGAAATTTGGCGATGGCACGCCCTTAGCGGCTGATGATATCAACAACACTGATCGTACGGACATGGGTGGTCTAGCCATGGTTGGTGGAGGTGCATGCTTGGTTCTTGTATGTGTGTGCGAGTTTTTCAACAAGATCTCTTCGCGTGTCGGTTCGGGCTACGTCGGTCGTTCTTTGCCCGTGCCTTTTCGCGCTTACTGCCGGTACACTTGCTTTTGGATTTTTTTGTTTATGTGCAAGCTCACGTTTGACTACCAATACATGATCAAGGCCTTGGTGGAAACGACGTTATTCATTTGGTATGCAAACGAAGATGAGTACTTACCGTACTCGAACTTTATTCTCCAGGTGACGTTCCACAACATTATCTATATTCTGTTCTTGTGGATCCCGTCCTTTTTCGTCTTCATGTATGACGCGCAGATCTTTTATTCGGTTTTGTCGGTAATATTTGGTTCGTTCGCGGGATTTAATCTCCGAATCGGTGAGCTGCGCTCTTTCCGCGTACTTCGACTCTCGTTCAAGTCCATTCCCCGCATGTTCAACAAAAAGATTGTCCCGAACATTCAGGATGGTGCGGCTGATGGCAAGAAGAAAAAAAAGAAGAAGAAAAAAGGCGAAAAAGAGGAGTCTACGATGCCAGTACGACACTTTGAGCGTGTATCAATGGCGGATGGAATCAAGCCTCTTACTGTGAAAGCTCAAATGTACTCGAATCTTCTGGACCAAGGCGGTGATCATTTGTACAATGAGGTAAAAACGCCAAATGACAAGGATGACGCGAGCTCAATTGGTCGGCAGTCTCAGCTGGGGTCCGTCACGGGTGTCTCCGGAGCTGACTTTGAGCGAACGATTCCATTTGCAATGGCTTGGAACCGTTGTCTGGGCAGTCTCCGTGAAGCCGATATCATTAGTGATCGCGAGCTCAATGTTCTGAGCTACTTGATCGACTCGAAGGACGCAGAAGACCGAAAGCTGTACCCACCAGCCTTTTTGACTGCAGGAAAGCTGGATGAATCACTTGACATCATCGAGGACTGTTCAGCAGTGTACGAGAAGCTGAGCTCTGATAAGAAAAAGAAGGAGAAGACACTGCAGAAGATTGAGAACACGATGCGCGAGCGTCTGACAAAGGATGACTTGCGTGTCGAGTCGCTTCTTGGATCGTACAAGTTTACTTCACAAGCTGTTCGTTTTCTGCTTGGAGACGAGCACAGAGATTTGAACGAGTGTTTTGAGTTTATGGAGGAGATGGCTGCGCAACAGTCTGTGCTCAAGGGCCTTAATTTGAAAAGTCTTCACGAGTGCCGTGCAGCTTGTGCTGAGCTAATGAAGGCGCTGCTAGAAGTGCCGAAGACGACATCAGACAACAGCATAAAGTTTCAACGGGCTCTTTACCGCGTTATTGACTGCGTGGAAACCGTGCTGAACTGCATGAAAAAGATTCTTGCAAAGCAGGAAAACCTGGTACAGATTTTGACGGACACTCCGTTGAAGCAGAGCTCTTTCTTCTTCCCGGGCGACGCTCAGCAGTATGCGAACGTGCAGCTGCAACGTCTTGTGAATTCGGAGGCAGCATTAGACATCGTGTCACGAGCGTACCAATTGTTGACGGTAGATAATTTTGACGCCGAGCCACGCTCTGAAGAGGGACGCCGCCGTTTGCGATTTTTCGCCAATTCGCTTTTCATGGATATGCCAGATGCGAAACCTATTCGCAAGATTCGTTCACTGACGGTATCGACGCCATACTATAACGAGATTGTCATGTACTCGATCAAGGATTTGACTGCTCAAAATGACGACAGTATCAAATTAATTTACTATTTGAAGACCATTTATCCGTTTGAGTGGGAGAATCTGCTGGAGCGCCTCCAGGCGAAGGACATGGAAGAGGCTCTGAAAAAGTTTCCCGAGGAAGTTCAGTTGTGGGCTAGCTACCGTGGCCAGACGCTGGCTCGTACGGTCCGAGGAATGATGTACAATGAGGACGCTATTCGTTTCCTTCATTGGCTTGAAATTTGTGAGAACGAAGTCATGCACCAGTTTGGATGCCCGTGCAACAAATGCAAGCGCCTGGATGATATGGTAGCACTTAAGTTCAATTACTTGTGCACGTGCCAGATATACGGAAAGCAAAAGGATGAACAAAGACAACAGGCTTCTGATCTCGAGTATTTGCTCCGCAAGCATCCGACACTACGGGTTGCTTATGTGGACGGTCCTAAAAAGGTAAAGGAAGGTCCTCCCAAGTTTTTCTCTGTTCTCGTGCGCGCTGACGGTGAGAACATTGCTGAGGTCTATCGTGTCGAGCTACCGGGTAACCCGATCATCGGTGAGGGTAAGCCTGAGAACCAGAATCATGCCATTATATTCTCGCGTGGTGAGTTATTGCAGTGCATTGACATGAATCAAGATGGCTACCTCGAAGAAGCACTGAAGATGCCAAACTTGCTGTCTACAAAGGACACGGAGACTGCAAAGTGTCCGTTGACGATTATTGGTTTCCGAGAGCATGTGTTTACGGGCGGTGTATCGAATCTTGCTAGCTTTATGTCCATTCAGGAATTGTCGTTCGTGTCGCTGGGTCAGCGTATGCTTGCATTGAACCACGTGCGCCAGCACTACGGTCACCCCGATATCTTTGACAAACTGTTTGCAATGGGCTGTGGTGGCACTGCCAAGGCTTCAAAAGGTATCAACCTTTCTGAAGATATTTTTGCTGGTTTCAACAGCACACTTCGCGGCGGGCGCGTCTCACATGAGGAATTCATCCAGGTGGGCAAGGGTCGTGATGTGGGTATGCAACAGTTGGCTCTTTTCGAGGCCAAACTGTCTTCTGGTGCCGGCGAGTGTGTCATTTCACGTGATGCGATGCGCATGGCTTCTCGCCTCGATTTTTTCCGTCTACATTCTTGGTTCTATGGTAATTTGGGTTGGTACTTTACACAGACAATGACGGTCGTGGGTGTCTTCTTTTTCATTTACGGCAAAGTCTACATGGCACTGAGTGGCATGGACACTTTCTTTTTGGAAAAGGGTGGATTGGGTATCGGTGGCACGTTGAACACTTCATGGGCGTTCCAGTTTGGTTTTCTGTTAGTGGTTCCAGTTGTTGCAGTGGTTGGCGTCGAGCAGGGTTTCCGGCATGGTGTTACGTACCTGTTGTGGAACATTCTGACGCTCGGTCCGCTGTTCTTTACATTTCAGATGGGCACGCGTATGCACTACTTTGACCGCACGCTTGTCCATGGTGGCGCTAAATACCGTGCAACGGGTCGTGGTTTTACGATCAAGCACGAGAAATTTGCAGAGCTCTATCGCTTTTACGCATTCAGCCACTTTTACCGCGCGGTGGAACTTGTGTTTCTGTTGATTCTGTTCCGTGTGTACGGCACGTTTTCATGGTGTAATTGTTCGTGGACACAGGACGCCTTGTTTTACAATTACTTCAAGCCTTCTGATAACGACTGGAACACGCGTTGCTACGCATATTACTACCAAACGTGCGTGCAGCCGACGAACCAAAATTATGGTATGATGTCGTATTCTCTGTGGATTATTGCAGGAACGTGGTTATGGGCGCCGTTTTTTTTAATCCCAGTGGTTTTGACTGGGACAAGCTGATTGAAGACTACACTGATTGGCAAAACTGGCTCAAGACAACGAACGATTCTGCAGCAAGTTGGTCGGGATGGTGGTTGAATGAGCAGGAATATCTCGAGCATTCGACGCGGGGCGCACGCATTGTATCTATGATCCGCAAGACGCGGTTTTTCTTTATTGCCTATGGTATGTACCTTCAACTGGTGTACAAATCATATTACGAGGATCGAGATCTTGTGATTGAAAAGGGTTCAATGATTTCGTACGCCCTTGCTGGTCTCATGTTCATCATCGTATTGCTGCTACTATGTTGTGTCTACATTGCTAGTCGTGTGAAGAAGAAATTGACGTTCAAGCAGAAGAAATTGCGCAAGATGAAGTTTGTACTGTCTTGCTGTGGCCTCCTCGTAGCTGCTGCAAGTCTCTTGATCATCTCGGTTAGTAACTTGATTGAGATTGCAATCATCATCCTATTGGCCGCATACTGGTTCTTGCAGATTTGTATTTACCGGAATCAAACCAACCACGTTGTAGTGCGTGGAATGGCTCGGTCATATGACCGATGGGTAGGCTGGATTATCCTGGGTCCAGTGCTTTTCATTGCCATGTTTCTACCATTTCTCTCAGCTTTCCAGCAGCGTGTTATGTTTAATAATGCATTCACGTCTGGGCTTGAAGTATCAAAGCTCTTTGCAAATGAAGCGGCATCATCTACGAGTAAGATTGTCAAGGTCAAGCGTGTAGCCAAGAAAAAGAAGCGGAATGATTAGGTCACGTTTGTATTGTTTAGACCACCGCGCTCATGATGGACAGGTGCATGTTTTCCATTTCCATACAATAAATGAATGATTTTGTTTTTAGGTATGAATGGATTTTGTTTGAAAAAAAAGATGCTTTTTTAGATCCGTCCCTACTTTCCCCTTTCCCTATCTAAGTATCTCATAGCAAAGAAAATAAGACACGCCAGTAATGGCTTGATATGTGCATAAAACGTCTTTTTTATATATATTAAACTTATAAAACGTACGGACGGACGACAGGTATGAAGTGCAAAAAAGCTTAAACACAAAGGTATCGCAAAAAAGCAGCGGGTTATGCATGAAGATTTAGCAGAACGCGCTTGATAAGAAACGTTAAGGTTTTGATTGATTGATGCAATGTGGTGGGATGTTATGGATACATCATAAACAGAATCAACGAGCATAAGGAGCATCGTTATTTGGTGTTTTAAGACACACATGTAAAAAGACGACTGCAAATGAAGATTGCCAAACGTATTTGGTGTAAGGACGCTAATAATTGTCTCATGCGCTCTTTGATTCTTCCAGCATATGGAGATCATGGGACAACGAATAGGTACAGACAGCAATTTGAAATTGGAATGATCTAGTAAAAAATATGATGATCGTTATGAATGGCCATTTTTCCCTACTCTTTTCGGACTGCACTGTTGCTCGTTCGCGTAGTCAATCGAATGTACGGATTTATGGCTGGCAAACACTTACTTACTTGATGCGAGTCGTAAGATTGCACGTTGAGCCGTTCTCTCCTCCAGTTGGGCGTAGATGGGATCATATCAAGCATAATATTTTTATACCTTACTTGATTGCAATAGCGTTTCACGGTGATCGATACTATCGGTTGTAGAAATCATGTAGAACTTTGATTGTCAAATACGATAGCTTCTAGTCACTTTAATGATGATCGTCTTACATTGTGTTATTAGCGAGTTGTTATTTATACTTCCACTGAAGATAGGGCAAATTGCATATGGCCACAATTTTTGCGGCGCTCAGCTTTGGAATGTTAAAGAAAGATGTGGTTCGTGCGTTCGTCTGTAACGGATATGCCAAAGCATAGTGTATCCTAGTACAAATACTCAAGTATCCGGCCATGTGTATGTATAGTCCGGGGAAATAAAAAAGTTGCACAAAGACGTTAATGGTCAGTCAAACTCAGGGTCTGGGCGCACCCCACCCCTTTCAAACCAAATCCCTGTTTCTACTCGATTTCCTACACTGACTCTCTCTTTCACATTCTTAGGACCTACCCCTTCCGCACTGGAGTGCGATATCCAAAAAAAAAAAAAAAAGCCTTTTGATCACTTGATTTTAGTATACAAGATCTGACTCGAGGGGGTTTCCAGGTTGTTTCGTAGAAAAAGAGACCAAGACGAATTTCCGATCATTTCCCTTTCTCTTTTTTTGTTCAAAAGGTAAATCAAGTGCGCGCGCTCTACTTGAACGACTTGAGACTTGAAGAGATTGAAAGGGCGCAGGCTCGTTCGTGTGTCTGTCTGTGAGTGAGTCAGCGAATCAGGTTGTCCTTTCGTTCGTTCGTTTGTTTATCATTCAGTCAAGAAGAAGATGAATCGTCGTACGTATGGCAATAATGGAAGTGAACGTGAAGGAAGTTCGTTTGGAATTATCACGGAAGCACTTGAAATGCAACGTCAAATGTGTGATGAAGCCATGGGACTTGTAAATGCTGGGGTTGCGATGCAAAATGCATCACCTCCTAATATAAAAGAAGCGGAACGTAAATTAACACGTGCTGTGGATATTATGGAACAAGCATTAAGTATACGATATCGTACAGCAGATGAAAAAGACGCAGCCGATCGTTTGAATAATAAAATGATGCGTTATGTGAAAATGATCAAAAGTCAACGTGCAAAGAGCGTTGTTGGTACGACGGGTTCAAAAGGACGGACAGTGCATAAACACAATATTTTACAGATGGAACGACTGCCAGAAGTGTATACTCCCGTCATGCAATTACTGAATAATTCGAGTCAATTGGGTGATATTTGTGAAACATTGAAACGTACTTTTGGGTTCCAGGACAGTAGTGTCTTGAATCAAAAGGAACATTTACTCTTACTACTGACAAATTTTAAAGAACAAAGCAGTCAGGACGATGGAAAGAAGAAGAAGAAGAAGAAGAAACAGGACGATACGGAAACCATTGATGACTATTTACGTCAACGTGATCCTCAACTTGAGCTCGACTTGGCGACCAAGGGAATTGCACGACTACACAGTCGTGTGTTTGCCAATTATAAGAAATGGTGCAAGTTTATTTCCCAAAAACCCAAGTTCTCGAACGATCCGCTGGTGGATATTGTTTTGTTTTTCCTCATTTGGGGTGAGGCAGCTAATTTACGTCAAATGCCAGAGTGTCTGTGTTTCTTACTGCATTCAATGTTACCGAAAGTTAATAGTGGGGGCAACGAAGAGCCAGGCACGTTCTTGGCCAATACGATCCGCCCAATGTATGCCGAGGTTCGTCGTGACAGCGACAAAAAGACGAGCAAGGGCGCACGTGCAGCCCACCGCGATATTCGTAACTATGATGACTTTAACGAGTTTTTTTGGACGAAGAAGAGCTTGAAATACGACTATAGCAACGTTGGTGAGGCTTTTGCCAACTATGATAAGAAGGGCCGTCCCAAGATTGTCAAGAAGACATACAATGAGACAAGAAGTTGGGCGCGTGCAATCGTCTCATTCCGCCGCATCTTCTTCATGAACTGTGCATTGTTCTTGGCAACGCTGGGACTTGCTATTGATATTGTGCTGTACTGTCCCGACTCGACCATTATGTATGGCGAAGACGTACAGCCAGCTGCTTCTACGGAACCTCTTGAAATTTTGGGCAAGAAGTATGCAGCGCCAACCGACTCATCGCCAGTGGACAACTCTGACGATTTGTCGAACGATATTGTTGCGGACAGTGGTGCCCAGTGCTTGTATTCCAAGTTGGCAACATGTTTGGGTGTGGAATACTTCACATCGGCTTCGGATACCTTTGGCACCCTGCCTCAAGATTTTAAACAGCTTCTGGAGATTGTGCCGTTCACGAACTGTGTCGAAAAATCAGTTGACAGGTGCAAATGCTACCACGACCTGATTGACGGTTGTTTTAGCGACACTGGTAACGCTGATCAAGTTTCAACTTCTGGATCTGTTGCGACTGTCGCATACGACCAGAGCATATGTGCTCCATCGTGGTTAGAACAGATTAATAGTATTTTGGACGACGAAGGTGATGGTTTGCTAAACTGTGGCAGCTGCCAAACGGATATCACGACTTTGGCCAAGAATCCGGCTCGCCTTGCTACATTGCTCCAGGGTTTAATGGATTTTAATCGGGCCGACCAGGGCGTGATGGCTCTTCTTGGCGGCGCTGCCATGATTGGTCTTGTGTGCGTGTGTGAGCTACAGAACCGGTTCTTTTCTGGCATTGGCATGGGCTTTGTGGGCCGATCGATGCCTGTTCCTATGAAGACGTACTGCCGTTATACATGCTTTTGGATCGTATTGTACATTTGCAAACTGATGTTTGACTATCAGTTTGTGGTAAAAGCACTGGTAGAAACGACACTCTTTGTATACTCTGCCAATTCGACGGACTATCTCAAATATTCTCACTTCATGCTGCAGTTTACATACCATAACGTTATCTACATCCTGTTCCTTTGGATTCCAGCGTGGATGGTCTTTCTCTACGATGCTCAGATTTTCTACTCCGTTCTGTCTGTCGTTTACGGTTCGTTCGCTGGTTTCAACCTCCGCATTGGTGAGCTCCGATCATTTCGTATTCTTCGTTTGACGTTTAAGTCCATCCCTGGCGTGTTTAACCGCAAGATGGTGCCGAACATTGTTGAGGAGAAGGCGAAAAAAATGAAGAAAAGAAACAAGAAGAACAAAAACGATAGGGACGAGATGGCCATGCCTCTTCGTCGCTTTGAACGAATTTCGATGTCTCAGGGTGCTAAGCCTTTGACGGTGAAATCGCAAAAGTACTCAAGCTTACTGGAACAGCGCGATGACGATGATGTTTACAGTGAGATGAAGACGCCTAACGGTACTGACGAAGACCTGTCATCACAGTCGAGCCGCACCTCGAACATTGGCTCCATCACGGGTGTGTCGGGGGCGGAGTTCGAACGTACGATTCCGTTTGCGATGGCATGGAATCGCTGCCTGACCAGTTTACGTGAAGCTGACGTTATTAGCGATCGTGAGCTGAACGTTCTGAGTTATTTGATTGATTCCAAGGATACGGTGGGCCGCAAGCTTTATCCACCTGCATTCCTGACGGCTGGTAAGCTGGATGAATCGATTGATATTGTCCTCGAGTGCTCAGCGTTATATGAGAAGTTGAAGACTGACAAGAAGAAAAAGGACAAGACGCTCCAAAAAATTGAGACTACTATGCGCGAGCGTCTGACAAAGGATGACCTGCGTGTAGAATCGATTATGGGCTCATACAAGTTTTCTTCCCAGGTCTTGCGCATTTTGCTTGGTGATGAACACAAGGAGCTGGATGACTGCTACAACTTTATTGAGGAAATGGCATCGCACCAACAGATCCTGAAGGGCTTGAAACTGGACAATTTGTACCTTTGCCGCGCTGCTGCTGCTGAACTCATGAAATCTATTCTTGAGGTGCCAAAGAAGTCGACCGAAAGTAGCATTAAGTTCCAGCGCGCGCTATACAAAGTAATCGACTCGGTGGAGTCGGTGATCAACTGTCTCAAGATGGTGCTGGCAAAACAAGAAAACCTGGTGCAGATGCTGAATGACACTCCTTTGAAGCCGAACTCGTTCTTTTTCCCAGGTGATTCTCAGCATTACGCAAGCTTACAGTTGCAGAAGATTGTAAACGATGAAGCTGCTCTGGACATTGTATCGCGTGCATATCAGCTGTTGACAGTCGACAACTTTGATGCCGAGCCACGCTCAGAAGAGGGACGCCGTCGCTTGCGCTTTTTCGCCAACTCTCTGTTTATGGACATGCCGGAGGCAAAGCCTATTCGCAAGATTCGATCGTTGACTGTTTCAACGCCTTATTACAACGAAATTGTCATGTATTCGATTAAGGATTTGACTGCTCAGAATGATGACTGCATCAAGTTGTTGTACTACTTGCAAACTATTTACCCGTTTGAATGGGAGAACTTGTTGGAACGTATCCAGGCAAAAGACATGAATGAAGCTCTAAAGAAGAATCCTGAGGAAGTGCAGCTATGGGCAAGCTACCGTGGCCAGACGCTTGCTCGTACCGCTCGCGGCATGATGTACAACGAGGAAGCAATTCGCTTTTTGCACTGGTTGGAAATTGGCGAGAATGAGCCGATGCACCAACTGACGTGCTCGTGCAACAAGTGCTGCAAGCTGAATGAGATGGTAAACCTGAAGTTCAACTACGTGTGCACGTGCCAGATTTACGGAAAAATGAAGGATGAACAGAAGCAGCAAGCTCAGGACATTGATTTCTTGCTTCGCAAGCATCCTAACTTGCGTGTTGCGTACGTGGATGGTCCGAAGAAGGTAAAGGACGGTCCTCCTAAATTCTTTTCCGTGTTGATTCGAGCCATGGATGACAAGATCGTCGAGATTTACCGTGTAGAGCTTCCGGGCGATCCGATTGTTGGTGAAGGTAAGCCTGAGAACCAAAACCATGCCATTATATTCTCGCGTGGTGAGTTGTTGCAGTGCATTGATATGAATCAAGATGGCTACCTCGAAGAAGCACTGAAGATGCCAAATCTGCTGTCGACAATGGATACCGGCACTGAACAACGTCCGTTGACGATTATTGGTTTCCGAGAGCATGTGTTTACGGGCGGTGTGTCGAATCTTGCTAGCTTTATGTCCATTCAGGAGTTATCATTCGTGTCGCTAGGTCAGCGAATGCTTGCCCTGTTCCATGTGCGCCAGCACTACGGTCACCCTGACATATTTGATAAACTATTCGCGATGAGTTGCGGTGGCACTGCCAAGGCTTCGAAAGGTATTAACCTTTCTGAAGATATTTTTGCTGGTTTCAACAGCACCCTTCGCGGTGGACGTACGTCTCACGAGGAGTTTATTCAAGTAGGCAAAGGTCGTGACGTGGGTATGCAGCAGCTGGCTCTTTTTGAGGCCAAGCTGTCTTCAGGTGCTGGTGAAGCTGTGATTTCTCGTGATGCGATGCGCATGGCTTCTCGCCTCGATTTTTTCCGTCTACATTCTTGGTTCTATGGTAATTTGGGTTGGTACTTTACACAGTCCATGACTGTTGTGGGAGTGTACTTTTTTATCTATGGCAAGGTGTATATGGCGTTGAGTGGCATGGACAGCTACTTCCTTGAGAATGGTGGACTAGGAATTGCTGGCACGTTGAACACATCATGGGCGTTCCAGTTCGGTTTTCTGTTGGTGGTTCCCGTTATTGCAGTAGTTGGCGTAGAGCAGGGTTTTCGACATGGTTTTACGTACCTGTTGTGGAATATTATGACGCTCGGCCCCATCTTCTTCACATTTCAGATGGGCACGCGCATGCACTACTTCGACCGCACGCTGATTCACGGTGGCGCTAAATACCGTGCAACGGGTCGTGGTTTCACGATCAAGCACGAGAAATTTGCAGAGCTCTATCGCTTCTACGCATTCAGCCACTTTTATCGTGGTGTAGAACTGCTATTTTTGTTATTGATGTTCTACGCCTACGGCACGTTTTCGTGGTGTAACTGCTCATGGCGACTAGATGCCGATTTCTACAACAATGTGCAGCCGACCGACCTTGAGTGGCGAACACGCTGCTATGATGATCACTATCAGTCGTGTGTTTTACCGACTAACCAGAACTACGGTGTCATGTCTTACTCGCTGTGGATTATTGCAGCAACGTGGATGTGGGCACCTTTCTTCTTTAACCCAAGTGGTCTGGACTGGGACAAGATCATTGAGGACTACAATGACTGGCAAAATTGGCTGAAAACGAACAATGACTCGGCAGACAGTTGGTTTGGTTGGTGGTCCAATGAGCAGGAATACTTGGAGCACACGACTCGCGGTGCTCGCTTCATTACTGGCGTTCGCAAGCTCCGGTTCCTGCTGGTTGCTATCGGTATGTACCTAAACATGATGTACAACGCGTATTTTGAGGAACCGAACCGAATTATCACAGCTGATGACGATTTGTTGACGTACGCTCTGTCCGGTTTGATCATTGTGATTCTCGCGATGTTGATATGCTGCGGTTACGTTGCTAGCCGTGTGACCAAGAAAATGTCGATGAAACAGCGTAAGCTGCGCAAGATGAAATTCTTGCTGTCTTGCTGCTGTTTCCTCATCTCGATGCTGAGTCTGTCGGTGTTATCGGTTGGCAATTTGTTTGCGATCTTTGTTCTGCTGATGCTGTCAGTCTACTGGTTCATGCAGATGTGCATTCTACGCCTGCAGTATCACCACATCGTCGTGCGTGCGTTAGCGCGTGCTTTCGACCGTGCAATTGGCTGGATTGTGTTTGGGCCCATTATGATTGTGTCGATGTTCTTGCCTTTTATCTCCTCGTTCCAGCAGCGTGTCATGTTTAACAACGCTTTCACCTCTGGCCTTGAGGTATCGAAGCTTTTTGCACACGACGTGGCTCCGGCGCAGGTCGTCAAGGTCAAACGCGTTTCAAAAAAAAAAGAAACCTCGCGAAGACTGAGCAAAGCTAACTTGCTTAGGTGTGCTCTACAACTGAGTAGGGTAGGCCAGTTAAGTCTCGCTATTTTGTATTTTCATAGAAAAACAGATTGTTTTCTGTTTTTGTTTTGCTTTTGACTTCTTCAAAGCTTCATCGTTGTCTATGCAAAATGGGGGTGTTGGTATAAAAAGATAAGAAACTGTCATGTCAACGTAATACGATGAAGCCTTAGCTATGCATTCGAGTGAGGTCCGGGGTTGAAACAACATGACGCATACCTCCGAGCTCAGCGGCTGAACGACTATTCATACCGTTGTGGGAAATCACAGGATTCCTTTGACTAAATGGTGCAATGCTGCCTGACGTACTCACAGATATTCGGGCTTTGCTGGTACGAGGTGGAGATCCAATCTTGAGTTTGCCTAGGATCTCAGCAAATTTCTGCGTATCCGGCTGAAAGCGCTTTAGATCAAGGTTCCGACGCGAACTTCCAGAAGCTTTATGACTCCGTGGGTCTGACATTGAGCCGTTTTCGTTCGACGTTAGTTCAATAGATGACAGTGGTCGCGTTCTCGGCATTGTCAATTCTTGCATAGGTGATGAGTTGTCACTACTTTGGTCAACTTCGTCTTCAAAATCCCTTGAAGGCGGATCCGATTCACTTCCAATCGATGATGACAGCGTGTTGCTCCGGCGGCGACTTTCACTGTCTTCATCCAACAGACGCATAACACGACTACCAGAGTCGCTGTTCGGAGTAGACCCTGCGAGGCTCGATGCGCCAACGGGGCCAGCACCATTCAGACTATCTGTAACTGCTCGCATGCGCAGCACGTCAAACTCTTCCGCGTCGACTTCGTTATCAATCTCAATTGCCATTGCACTTTCAGTATTTCCTCGAGACATTTGAGTGGCTAGGCTTCGGATAGCACCTTCGATCGCATGCATCCACTGCTCCTGTCGCCCCCACGTGTCAGTGAGCACAATGAAGTTTTTGTAGCCCTTTGATGTAAACTGTAAGCCATGTGCACCGCTTCCTGGACCCTCAGTCACGCCAAAGCTATACCACTTACGGACCGACGTAGGGATGACCCACTTCATGCGATTTGTCCAGTTTGCACTTTGAAGCGTATCACAGTACCAGAGCTTATCGCACACTTGGCACAGACCAAAGAACGTGATGGTGAACGTAAGCGCGTGGAATGGCATGGGCACTGGGAACTGGATGAACGAGCTCACACGTGTAGACTCTGGAATAGGAATGTGATCGTGAATCTTGTCCTTCTTGTACATGAATCCCGTAATGAACTCGTCAGTGTAAGTGACCTTGCAGTAGCGGCTTGCAGCACCCGAAAAAATGGTCTCCAAATAGCCAGAATATTCGTTTACGCCGGCATGTGTCAGCGTAGTCGACACATACTCGATTGCGCTCTGCTTCAGCTTCAAGCATCCGTGACACAACGGCGCATTACGCTCACCCAACGGTAGCATCTCGAGACGGTTTTGCTCCGCAAGAATTTGCTCAAATTTTACCCACTTTGCATGCTGCGATGTGTACTGCCTCACAACGTCTTGGCATGTGATCGAAACCGATCCACTCTTGCAGTTCGGGGTGCTAAGAAACAAAACAAAACACGTTAGAGCATTTGGAATTGACAAGATTGTAACAATAGAGTACGTACTTTGTCAGCGTGAAGATGCTGTTTGCAATAGTCGTCATGTGGCCCTTGTACTGTACATGCTCGTCGTACGCTCGAATGACGAAGTCCAGAATATTTGCTCCCTCAATAAAGAGGCTATTCAATAATGGAGATGAAGGTAGGCGTTTCTGATCTGGGTCCATTAAAACGAATCTAATGACGTCTGTAAGTTCATGGTGTAACATGCTGTTGGTAGGGTGTGAGCCATAGCAGGCTAGTAAGCACGGCATTAAGCCATAATCAGCCAACAGGTAATCCACATCTCCACTTTGCAAAAACACACAACGTTTTAGAAATGTGATGATATGCAAAAGCGCAGATCCCTTAGTGCTTACAGCCTTGATTTGTCCAGGATTTTGGGAGGTGGAAATTGCGCAAAGCGCCTTAACGTCCGACGTGACCACTGCGCGGCACAGCTTCACAAACTTTTCAACCCGGGGAATCAGCGGAGTCAGCACCGATGCGTAGACAGTCTTCAAAAGATCCTCAATTCCCGTAACATCACGCTTTTTCTTGTGATAATTCAACGTCCTCATCATCATCATAACGATAGACAGGGTACCGCCTTCGCGGACAACCAAAGATTCGCAATCCTGTGTACTCTGTCGGCAGACCTCCGCAAACCCCAAATCAAGCAATGTACCAAACGAGACATCTGCCGTATTAAGTAAATATATCAGCAACGACTTGAACAGCTCGTTGTGGTGGAGAGGAAAATGCTGATCCGTTATCAATGGTAACGAGTGGTCTGTGTTCTCTACAAAAGTAGCCATATTGTTCATAATGTACACAGAGGGAGGATAAATAATATAATTTATCAGTGAGCAAATGTTCTCGACGGAATCTCGCTGAAATGCTGTTCCCACACCCCATCCTAGTGTCCGCTGCCATGAGTACAGGCGAGCAAACAAACAGTCGAATATACCACTCTTCTGTACGTTAAGCTGTCCTGCTTCTGACATGTCAGAATACAACAGCCACACAATGGTGTCGCGAATCGAATCAAGACCGATATGACACACTATCCAAGGCACAATGGATTTGCCCTCATCAGCTATGAAGCGCCAAATAAGGCCTCCAAGACTCTGGTTCACAATCAAGTGGTTGACAACTTTGCAGAAAAGAACCAGCAGTACGTCATCCAAGGGATCCGCAGTACAAATAAAGTTAAACAGTACCTTGAGATACCCAGATGAAGTCTTAATGTCATAGACATCGGTGTTGTTTATAGGTCGTACTGTAACACCAGGCATATTGCCTTTTTGAAAAATTTTCGGCGAGTACCACAATGCAACCTCGCTGCAAAAATGCTGGACAGCGTACTTGCCGTAGTTAGGATCATCCGTCAAGCCAGACTCAGAGGACGACACTGATACCGTCAGCAGACGAAACACTTCATAAATTATTGGAGGTTGCTCCAGCCAGCTACTCGACTTCTGGTCTCGTATCATCTCTCGGTATAAAATGTCGACTGAGATTTGACTGCTTTTTGCAATCTCCAACAAATCTTGCAAGGTCGAGTTCTTCTTGGCAACAGTTTCCTCAATCTTGCGTCGATGGTCTTTAACGGATTCCTATGAAGATCAGCAGGCATTAGTTACAAAAAAAACGAGTCCCCGCATGATCATGACCACCGCTACTCACACTTTCAGCTTGTTCGCGCAAGTAATCTTCGATGTCAGGGTACCCTGCCATCCTTGCTAGATGCTCTGCGGTGTTTCCGTCTCTCTACACATTATCAATTTTCGTTATCAAATTGGTATGGAGGGCAAAGTTTTGACTTAGCACATATAGCAAACCGCTTACATCCTTTGCAACCAGACTTGCACCAGCCTTGACAAGTAATTTTATACAGCCAAGATTGCCGGCACGCGCAGCTTCCATTAGAGCTGTGGTTGAATTGGGCTGCAAGAAACGCAAACGCATTATCAGCGTTGCAGCTACTTAGTACTAGGCATTTGATACCGAAGCTTAGCAGCAATACACATACACTTTGTGTCTCAAGTTCTGCGCCACCTTCCAGCAAAATTGAACAACACTCCTCCAGGCCACCTCGAGCAGCAATGTGAAGTGCTGTAGTCCCACAACTCTATAGCGATAAACAGTCAGAGCATCTGTCGATCAGCAACCAGTGTCAATGGAGCTGATTAGTGCAAGCCACGTACTCGGTTCCTGGACAAGTTTATTCTTGCTCCCTTATTGACTAGCAGTCTCACACAATTTGCGCGACCGTCACGAGCAGCGACCATCACCGCAGTCATTCCGTGCACCTAACATCAGTATGGTTAATCTTGTATCCCAAGCTACATTTTTTGTACATCTTGACACTAAACTCACATCTTCCAAGTCAAGACTCGCACCAAACATTAATAAAGCTCGCGCTGCTTCTACATTGCCGACGGAACAAGCCATCATAAGCGGCGACACACCTGTGGGCTGTCAATAGGTTTAATAGTTTGCGTACAACAAAACACTGATCAGCGCCAGCACAACATTTCTTGTGCTCCACCAAGCACCATACATCAACTCAAGAACTACCTTTTGTTCGTCGAGTGAAACGCCAAGACTGTGTAAAATCTCAATGCAATCCACATGTCCGTGTTCAGCAGCATCACACAGCGCTACTGCCTTTGGGAAATTCTATGTTCAAAAACGAATGATCGATACAATTAGCAATTTATTAGCATAACTGACCACAAAGACATAATTAACAACGTACATCCACGACATTTCCTGAAGTATCAATCTCGAGCAAGTGTCTCAACAATTCCACATCCCCAGCACGTGCTGCAGTCTGAATTCCAAAGTATACATCGTCTGGCACAACACGTTTACACGCGTGTTCACCCCAGAGCAGCTCAATTGAAATCTGAGATGGTTTATCCTGTAGCAATTGATCTGCATGGTATTTAGACAGCAGCACGATAGGAATAGACACTGACTGACGTCCAGATGAGTGAAAACCATCAAATAACGATTGAATCGCACGCTTGTTATCCGTTTTCTCAATAAATACAATTCCAGTGACACCAATAGCCAACAAACGTCGTACAATGTCTGGAAAATGGACGCGACCACCTCGCTCAATGACCACAATGTTTCCCAACAGATCCGCCTTGTTCGTAAGCTCTCTGTCAGCTTTAGGAGGATTCATCATATACACGACTTTTCCTGTCACCACACGTGGTACACGGTCATAACGATAACTAGAAGGCTCTGCAAAGTGGTAACTCGTCATTGTAGTCGATACACTGTTTTGTGCGTGCAAGTTAGCATCAATGTCTCCAGCAGCTGTAACGGATTCTTGCTTGGGGCTGCACTGCCAACTTACAAAAGGAATTCCATCACTACTTAAGCTATTAGATGTAGACTGTTCGTTACCCATACTTATTGACTACTTGAATGCGGAAAAAGAATGATGGTCACTTCAAATGGTCTGATATCTGTAGGAAAGAAAGCGACAGAGCGAGATTTCAATGCCACTTGTTGAGTTTCTTACTGTAAGGAAGAAAGTACTGGCAGCTAATAAATGTGGACAGTACGGAATGTCGCGGCTTCAACACCCGTTACCTTGACGCAAATATAAGTGCACGTCGTCTCCTTTCTTGGTTGCGCGTTTTGTGTGCGTGTGTGTGTTTTTTTAGCTTGCGCAGTTGAAGCAAGCTAATATTTGTATGAAGATTAGAACCATCTACAAACAGTCTGTAATGTTAAGGTGAGACGGACCTTGTGTCTGTCGGTCTCTAATATCATATTTGAAACCTAGCAGTCCAAATGAATTCTTATTTTAGCGTTTCAAAGCCTGAACTTACTTAAAATACGTTTTGGGCACGTGGAAATACGGTACCCTATTGCTTGTTTTGTTATTTTACTCGCAAGAATTTGAAAAACCAAGCGACGTAACACATGACGGTTCGAGCAAGCACAAAGCAAGTGCAGCAACAGCTAACAAAGACATGGTCAACGCTGCACTATCGCATGGAATATGGTGGATACTTGTCCAACCATTTACTTCACGGTGTCGTGGCACTCTACGACCTTGGTGCTAGTGAAGAAAAGATTGAAAGCTTTGCCGAGAGCTACGCAACTAAGTTGGAAAAAAGAGAATTCAATCAAAAGGTTTTACACAATTCAAAACTGACGTTTACAGCCGCGCGTGAGTTACTCGGTAAGCGACAAAATTTTGACGGACTCCTGGCGCTCTACGCTACTGAAGTGAAAGAATTGGGGATTGACGGAGCAGTGAAGAAACACTTGCCCGTTCTAGTCGGCGGTCTAGCTGGCGCACTTCTTCACTCAATCATCCAGCTTGGCTATGCTTACCATATTGGTGGTAAGCATCTTGTAGCTGAAGGACTGACGTACATGCACTATGCGTACCTGTCGTTTGACGAGCCTCCAACTGTTATTGGTGAAGAGTCTTCAAAAAAGAAAACATTCTCACGTGATGAAGCGTTGCAACTTGTACGTTTACTAAACGGCAATGAGCTTTTGCTTGGTGAGATGCGTAGCAAGCTTCAAATGAAGCCGCTCGTTGACCTCAACATTGGCGGCATCCAGAAGCGCTTAAGCACGATGTCAGGCGATCCAGAACGAGGAAGTTCCACCGCGTTTCTATTTATATGGAAAATGATCAATAGTTATGACCTGACGAAGATGAATGGGGTGCTTGCGCTTGATTTAGCCTTTTGGTTGTACATGATGATTGAGCACAACGATTTCGTTATTCTGCATGCGGTGACATCGGCGTGGGCTCTGCAGCAGGTTGAGCACTTGTTGGAACCAAACGATCGCGAGCGTTCATGGAAAGTGTGGTTGCATGTGGCGTTATCAGCGTTTGTGACGAATGACATTAACGATTTGTTATCATCGGATGTATGTGAGCATAATTTGTCAGAGTGGAAACCATGGAAACAAATTGTTTCAAAAACTTTGACTCTAGCAGATGAGGGTCTACTGGAACGTGATCTAGTGCACGCTTACAAACTTGTGCAAGTTGCTCACAATCACGCCAAGTGTGTTGAGAAGGCATTTCTAACGACTGAAGAGCGTGAAGTTCTTGCCCGTAAAAGCGCACTTAAGGTGATTTCATGCGACTTTGGTGACTTATAAACAATGAGGTACTTCACATGATTAAGATTACGTATTCATGTTTTTCTCGAATTATCCGTTGTTAAAAGTCGCGGATATGCATTTACCTTCGTCCAACATTGACCTTTGCCATAAGCACCATAATAAAACTAATATATATATTTTGAAACAGATAAGGCGGCAGCTCTCACGCGGCAGCACTATCAACATCGAGTGCCAAAGCCGGCATTATGACAGCCATTGCGTTCATCAGGTGCTTTCTATGCATGAGACTAATAATTGTAACTGCTGTTGTTAGTTACGCAGCACTGTCTTCAGCCGTTACCAACAGTGACTCGAAACTGTTTCTAAGAGACATATTCTCTTATATGTGGGAACTGGATTGCTTACAGTGTCAAGTATGCCGAACGCCAGAGCTTACTGGTAGCGTACAAGACTCAGCCTGTGATTACAAAACAGTAGACAAAGCAGTACACGAGCATTTTCACCCGCTACTGAACGAACTCTCGCGCCTCACGTTTTTTCGCTACTTTAAGGTGGATCTGGACAAGGAATGCCCCCATTTGCCGTGGCAGGATGACGGCATGTGCGCCAGTATTGATTGCGCTGTATGCAAGTGTCCGTCACATGAGATCCCAGCACCATGGAGTCAATTGGACCAAAACGAGATTCAGTTGTATCAGAATGACAGCCTTGGAGAAGCTGGCAAGCCCTGTGACGAGCAGACGGGTGAGAGCACATTGTCTATGGTCGAACGCAAGAATGCAGTAGCTGGTGAGAGTTTTCAAGCTTGGGAAGAGGTACCCAATGTCAATGTGTGGGCTTCTCAAGCCGAGGCAGAGGAGACAATGGCGTACATTAATCTGCTGGAAAATCCAGAGAGATACACAGGTTATAGTGGCGTTCAGGCTGAGCGCATCTGGAATGCAATCTACATGGAAAATTGTTTCTCACCACCTAAAGAGAGTGCATTGGACGGCATGTGTCTAGAAAAGCGTGTGTACTACCGCCTCATCAGTGGGTTACAGGCTTCAATTAACACACACATCGCGCTGACATACAAGTTTGGTAACAAGTGGGGCGTAAATCCCTCACTGTTTGTCAATCGAGTTGGCAAGCACCGCGATCGACTGCAGAATCTTTATTTTGCCTACCTGTTTGTTATGAGGGCGATCAGCAAGTACCGCCATGAACTGTTGGCGTACGACTACAACACGGGCAACGCTGCTGATGATCTCCGTGTGAAGCAGATCCTTCGTCAGCTTTTGCTCGAGGGATCAGACGAGACTCAGGCGTCGGAAGATTTTTGCTTGGCATATACCGAGTGCTCGTCTGTTCTGTCAGGTTTTGATGAAAGTGCACTATTCCGTGTTCAAGTCGACGGTCTCTCCGTCGCTCAGCTAGCACAAGCCAAGCAGGAGAAGGAGCAGCTCGAAGTGCAGTTTCGCGAGAAGTTTCAAAATGTGAGTCGTATCATGGACTGCGTCACATGTGAGATGTGCCGCCTTTGGGGCAAGTTGCAGACCATGGGATTAGGAACAGCCATCAAGATTTTGCTCGCTGAGGACGTGTCGACGATTCCCAAGCTGCATCGTAACGAGCTCATTGCGCTCATCAACGTGGCGAACAACCTCGCCCGTAGTGTAGACGGTGTGAAGATGATGCGAAAACTTGAGTTCATTGAGGCTGTGAAGCAGTTTGGCTTTGTTTGCGGCGCAGCTGTTCTTCTCGTGTTGGCCCTTATAGTCATTTTCCGTAGGCGCAAAACGCGTGCGCACAAGAAGAAGCAAGAATAACTAATCATTCAGCTAAAGAGATTACAACAGGTATTGACGTATCGGCAACATTACGACCTATGCCACCTCTTGTTGACATGGTGCATCCTGAACTATCATGTCCCCGTTGCGCTCTTGACACCGCATATAATAGGGCATCACCCAAAGTTTCGCACTTCGCATGTACGAAAGTTTTTGTCGAGCACATCTTTGTCATAGCCAATCTTCCTTCTTCTTCTCTACGACCCACCGACAGCAGCGGCAGCTAGTTGCAATCCAAAGCAAGTACCAAACTGCGCACACCATACAAAAAACTCGGTCGAGCTCGATTCATCATCTGTTGTATCGATGGGTTGTCACGTTTGTGAACCGGCAAGGACGATCCAGACCAGCCGACACTATTATTTATCGACACAATAAACTCAGTGCCTACAAAGCCTGGGCCAGCAGGGTAAATGAGGTCGTTTGGTCCTAAGCGACCAACGCTACAATCTGTGGCCCTTACGAGCATATTGGTATACAATTGTCCAGCAGTCGTGGCACCGAGGATATCACGGCCAGATTGAAGATATCCATCGATCACCAGGTATCAAACCTCTTCTCCTTTTGCTGCAATTGTTGCCGTATGGAAGAGCTTGTATACTTGCAGATGTCTGCCCAATAGCAGCTGTCTACATAATAACAGCTACACACTGGTGCATCTTATATGGCGACTAGAGAATGCACATCTTGAAGCGATTAGTGATGACAGACGGTTCGTCACAAAGATCCTTTTTTTGCACACGTAGATTCAGCATATATACAACATTTGGTGACGCTAGCCAAGCTTGGATCTTGGTCTTTTTTCTGTCATGCAGTTCTCAGATGTTAATGATTTTTTATGACTCCACTACTACTACTACTTAAGTAAGTTACAATTAAAAGTAATCGTACGACAACTCAAGCCAATGCAGCATCTTTATCATCGTCATGCGTATCTCTTACTACAGCTTGGAAGAACTCGTCAGACTGTCAACGTCCTATCTCAACGCGGTTTTGCTGTGTCAGCGTACGTTCTTGACAAAAAAGACTCGCTGTCCCATTCTTACCAGATTGATACGTTTTTATTGACGATTACTTACTTACAGACTCCCACTTGATAATCCATACACGGGAGAAATCTATTGTGAGGTTTCTTATGACTCAAAGGTTGAAGCACATGCCAAAGTTAATGCTGCGATGAAGGCGCACATTGATTGGAAGAACGTGCCGCTTGATGAACGTCAAGTACTATGCACCAAGTGGATTAGTGCTCTCTCTAGTCACGCAGAAAACATTTCGTACGACATTTCCAGTATGATGGGAAAGCCGATTCATCAAGCGCGACACGAGGTCAATGGCACGATTGACCGTGCCAAGTACGATAATTTGCTAGTCATAAGTGTTACGATCATGCTAATTCAAGTTGATGTCATGGTTTTGATGGGGGTTTACCGTGACAGAGCTCTTATCTACTTGTCGAACGAAGCGCTGCGCACGGACTCATTTCCTGAAGAGAAAGATTTGTTTCGACAAATCACGCACGAACCTGTTGGCGTCGTTTATGTCATTGTAAGTGAGCTATTTGCTGACAAAGTTTGAAACTGTTTGTCTGTTTTCGCGGGTGTATTGGTTCTAATGTTTTGCGACTAATTATGTGGATTCAAGGCTCCGTGGAACTACCCTCTTATGACGGCAGTCAACTCAATCATTCCCGCTGTACTTGCTGGCAACTCGGTGATATTGAAGCACTCACCTCGCACTCCACTCTGCGGAGAGCACTACGAAAAAACATTTCAGCAAGCCGGTTTTCCGACGAATGTCCTCCAGTCGTCATTTGTTGATCACGACACGGTTGCAGAAATTATACAGCGCCCGGAGATTGCATTTGTATCGTTCACCGGATCTGTTCGAGGGTACGCATTCGTTGAAAAGTAGATGTTGAGAATCCATCAGTTGTGTAACTATGTGCTTGTATTCTTACTAACATGTGTAGTGGTCGCCAAGTCCAGCAGGTGGTGTCCCAGCGCTCGATTGATGTAACGTTGGAGCTTGGAGGCAATGTAGGCGCAGTTAATGTTTCGAACCCTATTGATTATTCTTTAACGATACAATCTGTGGTGACCTTAGGACGCTGGATACGTAACGGCCGATGCGGACGCTGAAACTGCTGCGGAGGGTCTAGTGGATGGTGCTTGCTATAACGCTGGTCAATCATGCTGCGCTATGGAGAGAATTTACGTTCACAAGTCCAAGTACGACCGTTTCTTGGAGAAGGCGACAAGTTTGCTCGAAGCGTACAAGCTGGGCAACCCGACTGACGCGAAAACGTCAATGGGTCCGATGGCCCTTCCTACTGCACCGGAAATGCTTGATGCTCACGTAAAGGATGCTGTAGCGAAGGGTGCTGTCCAAGTAATTGGCAGTGGAATTGTTACGGATGCTGCTGGAAAAGGTCGCTTTTACTCTCCTACTCTCCTTGGTAACTGCAACGGCTCCATGAACACTATGAAGGAGGAATCATTTGGACCAATTGTCAGCGTCGAGTGCGTTTCATCGGATGCTGAGGCTATCGAGAAAATCAACGACAGCATATACGGACTGACAGCCTCTATATTTTCATCTGACCGTGGGCACGCCATGGCGTTGGGCTCACAGATCAGTGTTGGCACTGTGTACATGAACCGGTGTGATGTACTTGACCCTTATCTTCCCTGGACCGGCCACCGTGACTCCGGCAAGGGAATCAGCCTCTCCAAGCATGGATTTCGTGGCGTCACGAAACTCAAATCAGTACGTGTTTGCTTTGATTGAACCTCACGCCTGGCTCTTTAACCATGTCATATTTGTTTATTCGGTAGTGGAACTTTCGCGTATAGAGAGCACAAACGGCTGAATGCTGTCGACGTCTTCTCAATATGGACAGGATAAATCACATAGTCAAGATTTACTCTAGAACCAGTAGTTGATTCCTGAAGCAAGTAAAGTGTTTGCTTCACAAGGTAAGCTCGAGTGATTTGTATTCGTATCTACGGAAGTAAAGCGTGCCAACGCATACCGATGACGTTTCTAACATCCGCATATGTCACATAGTACGCTAATTTAATTGACAAACTTAGCGTGAAATTTGGCTTGTATCAAACGCATTGCGTGCAGGCATAGCATCATTGTTCAGTCAAAGTGATCATTGCTTTGTTGTTTGTTCGATGAAAGTTTGCTTCTCAAGATTCTTCTCAACAGCTACAAAACCTGCAACCTATACGTCACTTGGACCTCCAAATGGGTCCACACGTCCCTCGCTTGTCACGTAAGCCGACGTAATACCACCATCAACCACGAACGACGTCCCGGTAATGTACGATGCATCATGACTAGCAAGAAATAAAGCCGCCTTGGCCATTTCTGCGGCCTCTCCAAAGCGGCCCATGGGCACGTGCACCAAGCGGCGCTGCTTCTTCTCTTCCGTATCCAAAAACTTTTGCAGTAGTTCTGTATTAAGTGGACCGGGGCACAGTGCATTCACACGAATATTTTCACGAGCGTGGATCGTAGCCAATTCACGGGACATGGCAATCACTGCGCCTTTGCTAGACGTGTAGGCAAGTTGGGGTGTAGCTGCGCCCAGAATACCGACAAACGACGCGGTGTTAATGATTGAGCCGCCACCAGCACGACGCATGGCTGGGATGCCGTACTTGCACCCAAGGAAAACACCTTTAACATTGATATTCATGGTGAGATCCCACACGTCCTCCTGTGTCGCAATAGCATCGTCGTCTGCGCTATGCATGATACCGGCATTGTTAAAGAGCACATGGAGTGCACCAAACTCTTTCTCAGCCATATTTATCATATTTTCCACGTCTTTGGCCTTGGATACATCAGCTTTAATGACTACGGCCACTGTATTGGTCTTGCCCAGTTTTTTCAGCTCTTCATGCACTAATTGTGCAGTCTCTGCTGCAGCATCCACATTCACGTCAGCACACACGACGCCCTTGGCACCTTGCTTGGCAAACAGGATAGCAGATTTGCGACCAATGCCACCAGCAGCTCCAGTAATCACGGCTACTTGTCCAGCAAGTCGACTTCCCATGACGCTCATAGCAAAAGACGGTATCTTCTTTAGTACCGGTAATTGATAGAAAAACAAGTAGATTCATCATCTTCAACAAAAGTCCGTTGGTATACTCTATTTTACGGAAATAGAGTCGCAATAGTACTCTTTTTAAAGGAGTATACAACTCTTTTTGACTTAATTTAGCTTTTTAGCTTTATCTTGGGGTGCATGGTTGCCAAACTATATATCAGACGGCAAACATCCTCGTTATTTTGCATAGCCGCAGCCGATGAATATAGCCTGGTCTTGTGATCAACAGTACAGTACAGTTTCAACACGACTCCTCACGGCTGACAGCCTAATACGTGCTTTATGTAACGTGTACAACTTTGGTCACCGATCCAATGAATGCTGCAGTTATTTCAGCACAATTATATCACAATCTTCAAGTTGCATGCATCTTTTTTGCACAGTTATCTTCAAGTTTCACAACTACCGAAAATGATGTGGTCTACGCCACTCCAGCGTCTTGATCAGATAAATGTAGCTACTATTTTTCGATATAATTCAACTGTCAAATAAATACTCCGTCGTCTCATGCTCCTGCTGCGTCGTTTCGTTCGACACGCGAGTCTTTCGTCGACTACCGCCTTGCACACACTGAAATTATCGACGCTATCATCTTCTCCGCTGAATGTGCTGGTCATTGATGGCTACGCGCCTGATGGCCGCACCGAACTTGAAGCTGGTGGCGCTAGCACAGCCGGTAAGCTTTACGTCGATCTGTTGAATAACGCAGCGCCTGCAGGTGTAAAAATTGCATCAGAGATTGTATTTCCTTCTGATAATGACTTTGAGACTCCAGATTTATCTCAGGTGGGTTATTAGACTGGTACTGTACGATATAATATGATAGAACTGACTTGCTTTGGCAGTACCATGCAGTCGCGTGGACAGGCTGTTCATTGACGATCCACAATACTAGAGATGTCCGTGTCACCAAGCAGATTGAATTATCAAAAAAGATCTTTGAGGAAGGTGAGGAGCAGCAGCTATTGATGGTGTCGTGATACATTGAATGCGGCTTAAGATGGTTGTTGTGGTGACTTTTTCTTTAGGCATTCCGCAGTATGGTAGCTGTTGGGCGGCTCAGATTGCAGTTGCTGCTGCAGGAGGTTTTTGTGGACCAAACCCTCGAGGTCGTGAGATGGGCATTGCGCGCAAGATTCAGCTCTCTCCAGAAGGCCGTGCACATCCGATGTTTGAGGGCAAGCCATCAGTGTTTGATGCTTTTACGAGTCATAGCGATGAAGTGACCCACATGCCTTCTGGAGGACTTGCGCTAGGTGGAAACGAGTTTACAACAGTACAGGCAGTTGCAATACGTCACAAGAAGGGCGACTTTTGGGCCGTACAATACCATCCAGAATACGACTTGCACGAGCTCGCGCGACTCACGTACTGCCGTCGTGCTAAACTCGTTGGTCTGGGATTCTTTGCTGATATGAAGAGCGCGGACCAGTATGTGGATGATTTAGAAAATTTGCACATCAATCCATCTCGATACGACATTGCGTGGCGTCTTGGACTGGATGCAGACGTCATGGATGAGAACATTCGCCACTGTGAGACGCGCAACTTCATTAAGTATCTTGCGCTTCCATACAAAGCGGCGACAGTGGTCAAGTAAACGTCGGCAAATGGATCATTGCGCTACAGTAAGCTTGACGAAAGCAACGGCGCGTGAATGGTATTGTCACAATTGGTGCGTAGTGTGCTGTGCTGAAAGCTTTGCGCGTGCGAAGTGCTGCAATCAAAACCTGCTTGGAACTCGGCAATCATAGAGGAAAAACATTATCTCTGGTCATCTAATTGCAAGTCGTCAAAATGACAAGCTATGGTTCAAGTACATTCTACGTACTTATAGAAAACTCATTCCGAGTAGGGTCACATTACGCTGCTTTTGTGTTACTAGTAAATCTGGTTTGCAAGGTGTTATGCCATGCTTTTGTGCACGAAACGATTTCATCTTCATTGTACATGAAGATGAAAATGCACATTAAAAGCCGCTCAACTTTTTTTACCTTTACAAACACAATAATTGATCGTGAACAGAGTAAACAGAACAATGACAACGTATTGTGCAAGCAACACAAGAGGTATAGCCCCGTTATCTACAGATTGCTACTGCTTGGCACATTTCTTCTTGGCAGCTTTCTGCATCTTAACGGCCTGCACGTTCACCTTAACGTCGCGGGTGAAAGGCAGGTAGGTGACGCCACCCATAAATGGCACCAGCACCTCTGGAACCGTAACACCATTCTCATCCTGGTAATTCTCTAAGATGCAGCAAACCGTACGGGTGGACGCGCAGAGCGTTGAGTTAAGCATGTGCACGTACTTTTTCTCACGCTGGTTCTCCTTCTTGACGCCGCAACGAATCTCCATGGCACGCGACTGAAAGTCTGTGCAGTTGGAAGCAGATACCAGTTCACGGTACTCCTTGTAAGCAGGAAACCATGCTTCAAGATCGTACTTCTTCACGGCAGCATTATTAAGCTCACCCGACACGATGTTTACTACGCGGTATGGCAAGTTGAGTGACTGGTAGAATTCCTCAGCATGACGAATCATCTCCTCGTGCATGGCAGCAGAGCTTTCCGGATCTGTGATGCAGAACTGCTCCATCTTGTCAAACTGGTGGACACGAAAAATGCCCCACGTGTCCTTGCCGTGTGAGCCGGCTTCCTTGCGGAAGCAAGTGGAAAATCCACCGTAACGCAACGGCATTGAGCTCTCCGTGATCCACTCACCCTTGTGGTAAGCACAAATGGGCTGCTCAGACGTAGCGATTAGATACTTCTCGTCCTCCCCGATAACTTTATATAGCTGCTCATTAAAATCATCGAGCTGTGCAACGGCAGCCATACCCTCCTTGTTCATGAAGAAAGGAGGTTTGAGCATCTTGTACTGAGCTTTCATGAGAAAAGCTGTGGCATAGGCCATAAGCGCCTGTTCCAGCAAGAAGCCGTAGCCCGTAAGGAAATAGGCGCGGTGGCCAGCCACTTGCACACCACGCTCAGGCTCGTAACCGTCGATACGGTGTAGCACCTCGTGATGAAAGTGAAGACCTTCCTTCTGGATAGGAGTGCCCCACATTTTAACGACAACGTTATCATCTTCGTTATTTGAAATGGGCACTGTGGGGTCCACTACGTTGCCGATCTTCGGCAGTTCTCGGTCCACAAGCTCTTTAATCGCATCAGCCTCCTTCTTCTTTTCTGGAAGCAATGATGCCAGCTCCTTGCGCTCATCGCTAAGTGCTTTAAAGTCCTCTTTGGCCTTACTAAGCTTTTTAATCTCCTGCTGCAATGCATTCATCTTCATACTGATGGTTTCAGCCTCTCCCTGCTTCTTGCGCCACTGTTCATCCAGTTCAATTACTTTATTTACAATATCCACATCCAAAAAACGATTTTTCTGGTCACTGCGTACGAGTTCTGGGTCACCGCCACGCTCAGGACGCAGGCGGTTAATGTCAATCGGCATCGTCAAGTCACTAGTGCTTACTGTATTGGCTACGAGGGCTTGTTACTTTTCCACGAATGAGAGGGAGGTATGAAATGATAAAGGATGTGTCTGAATGTTGCACGAAGGATTTGGATGGCAGTTTAGCTACTAGCAATCAATACTCGATTCGGATTAGACCCTAATTGATAGGCCTGGTCTTACAATGTAGCCCCTTATAGCAAGGTGCCTCGCTGGTGATGATGCCGTTCTTGCGTGGCACCAAAGTGATCTACCATAATGTTGGTATCTGTAGCACCCTTTGTAAGCGTGGCCAGATACGAGACCAGGAGCGAGTCGTTATACTCTTGCGTAAACGCCGCGTTAAACTGTTCCGACTTCATCACTGGAAGCTGATTGCAGATGCTGGAAATATGACGAAGCAAGTTATAATCCAATGGCGCTTCACCATTCTTCATAGCTTGTAGAAAGCGTAGTAGCACATCGATCTGCCGATCGAGCATCTTCACAGCGTCTCGGACATTTCCAAGATATGGGTGTACTACATGAAACGCAAGCAGACAAATGATGAGATAGCATACAATGAACGGAACTATAGAGGACAGAGCGTGCACATACAAGCAGACTTGGTAGTATCACCGATGGGTGCAATCTTGGAAATATGATCGATGGCAATGCCCTCTGTCTCGGACGTTTCGATCTTAAACGGTGCCTTGACAAAGATCATCTTGGGCACGCCGTTCAGCACATGTAGCTCTGATTCAAATAGCGATATGGGGAGCTTCTTTTTGGTACTTGGCCCTTTGGATTCCGGGTCCAAGATCACAAACAGCGGGCTCTCATTGAACTCCATAACCTGTAACAAAAGCACTCAGTGGTCGAACAATCCCAGAATAAGTTACCACACAACTCAGCAAACTCTTACCACGCGATGCACTGCTAAATCACTGGAAAGAGCCTTTTCACCGACTGTATACCATCCTAGTAGCTCAAACCCCGGGAATACCTGTGAAACTGCATTCAAAGGACAGTTTTTAGAAGCAGCTCTTCTTGTCTCATTCAATTCTCCATTGCTACGCACACTGCTGGATACGTGACGTGAGGAATTCCTTATCAATATGTATTTCTCCATCAACAAAGTCATATTTCATTTCAAACGAGTCATAGACGGCCACGTCCAGACCGTTTTGAATGCCAAAGAGTGCACCAATGACCTGTGGCGCTTCCGTTTGACTGAGCTGTGAATTGCATTTCTGTCGCGTCTGATGATCAGTGATATTTACAATTACTAGTGGATGAATATGAATCTGTCTTTCACCACCACCAGTACTATTACTAGTATCCTCACGCTGTATTAACATCTCCTCGTCCTTTTCATCGAAATTCGTCATCTTTGTGTCCTGCATATGTTGTCCTAGATATCAACTTTTGCAAACAAAGTTTTAATAAGCTGTGTGTTATTGAGGAATGTATTTAACCCACTTTTGTGTTTTTTTTTTCGAAAATGAACCTTAGCCTTATATCTTCCAATCAAGACGCAGCGTACTATTCCATAACGTACAGCTACATTAAACTAGCTGTCAGGCCAGTAGAATGTACGACTTTTAATATCAAGATAATAACAGTCTTTCCTCTTGAGAAGTGATTGATAAACTGGGACAATGATTTAACCAAAAACCATTTCAATCGATTCACACGATATAAAAAAATGGCGCAAATCGGATAGAGTTTAATCCGTAAAAGGACTTTTTGTATCGAAATACGTCAAAATGACGCAAATATGGTAATGCTCTAGCCGAGCTTGTCATGGACAGCCAGCCTCCTTGACATCATCGTGACGATCGCATTGGTCGAAGAGTTGACCATGGAAGTGGTTCAAGAATGACATTGCACTTGCATTATATCTCACTGACACCTTTAAGATTGCAAGCAAATGCTCTAGAAATGTGGCATCTTTTTGGTGGGAAAGGACTCATGTAACATTGATACTTTTTCTGCAACAAACTGCTGCATGACGTCTTCGCGTAATTTCATAGCATTTTTCTATCGCGTGCACGCCAACAGACACAAAAACTCTATATGTGCGACTACTTTTGGCGCATTACATGCCTCCCGCCTTGACCAACTTCTTGCCCCTACTAATCTTACCTATCTTGTGCTGCTTATTCAGCATTGTTGGCACTGATAGTGTGTCAGTAGTACAGGGCTCACTCGCCAGCTTTTGAAGCTCCTCTAGTGATTTGGGTTGAGCATTGAAAATGTTGTTCACACGGTGCCGGAACGCTATGACAACTTGTCCAAACTCCATATATCCCTATCGCAAGGAACGCACACAGAATCGTGAGACACACAAACACTTTCGTACTTCAAATAATTGTAAACGTACCGCCTCCATTTCAACGAAAAGCGAGTCCAGGACTGGAAACAGCAGGCAAAAGATTGTCTCAAACACGTGGTTATCCGGTTCATTAATGATATCTTTCCAGGAATCATAGGTACTTAACGGTCGAGCCGACAAGTATGTCTCTATTGACCTTGTATGCCGAGACTCGCTGACACTCTGTGCAATCAAATGACTGTACGTTTTCATCGCATTCGGAGAGCAGCCTTCCGAATGTGAACCAGCGTCTCCTAAACCAAGTGTTTCAGTCAAAATCGACGCCACATTAATACATGCAATAGCCAATGGGTAATTCCTCATATTGCCTTCGCTCACGCCATGCCGCGTGCGCTTCAATATACGATGAAACTCGCTCGACGGACAGCTGGCGAAAAAATTGAGACAGTATAGCCCGAGTAAACCACTAGAACGAAGATCAGACGCCGGGCCTCCTCGTTGGAATCCAATCTCCAGCCACTTCGGATCGTTATTTGATGTAAAAGGTTCTCGTGGGAACACAAATTCCCACAGTTTCATGATCATCATGTTCATCGTCTTTTGATCTTGAGGCGGCCCGCTCGACTCGGGTGTCACTTTAGCTTTGAGTAGTTTTCGTAACCAAGCCACACATGACCGGAAGACAACACTGATTTTCGCGCGCTCTTTAAGCTCGATCTCAATGATTTCTGACGGCAGACAAATAGCGGCTAAAATAGCATCATACCAGGCGCGACACTCTGCTGAAGACGTGCAGCCTAGCGCCAACCGCCCCACATAAAGCAAACGCTTTTCTTCTCTGATTGAAACACGGAGCCCCTTCAGAGCAATGACATACCATGGCCGCGTACTGGTGTCTCCATCTGCTGGATAAAATACGATGCAGTTTTCATGAAGACACACAAACAAGCGACCACGCAAGGTAGCATGAGGCCTAGCATTTTTCGCTTCAAGACGACCGGTTTTGAGTGTCAAGCGAGATGAACGCTTTTCAAGGTCGTTGCCTGATACCACATTGTCAACGATCCGTCGTAAGATTGCATAAAAGTCATCACGTGCTTCCACAGTATCCAAAAACACCGGCCAAGATCGATGTCGCCCGTGAAAATCGATACTAATGCCATGCTCCTCACCACAGGAACGCACGCTACTCACCGATACACTACGAATGTCCGTAAAATGAAATGTTGTAAGAGTTTCCCCTCGCCGTGAGTTCGTCAGGGTCTGCTCAGCAAAGTTCAACTCAAGGACTCTAGTTTGAAGCCGATTCCGAGAGCTACACTTGCGCACGCCGTAGCGAACTAAAAATCCCTGAATTCCTGCTTCATGCCACAGCTGTTGGAAGTCTGTTGCGCCGTCAAATGTCGAGCGGTTCCCCAAATTTATTGCAGCTTGAATAGCACACACCCACTGAGTCATCTCATACCTTGAGGCCGCTACCATGCAAAATTCACGTCGTGAAGAATCGGCAGATGTCATGACTTTAAACTCATGTTCTTTCGCATTTTTACCGGTAACAACTATACAGCGGGATGTCGAGCTAAGATCGACAACTTTAGTTGGAGAACCTTCGTTATTGTCCTTTGCGTATGTCAACATTGGTCCTTGTGGCATTCTACGCAATGTAAACCAGCGTTTCCGATAGCTAGGAACTACTTCACCACGCTTTGAGATCCATCCCTGGCGAATTATACCATCTGGCGTGGACATCCTCTGCATAGTGGATTTACGATATGAAGCCAAAGATTTGTCTCCACCTTCTTGATCCTGCACACTGTGCCCAAGTCGTTCAAGATAGACCTCACGTCCAAAATGTGGGTCAAAGTGAGCAAGATCACTCATCGTAAATGGTCGGTCCATTTGCTCCTCAGCAACCATACGAGACTCAACATTCAGTGATTGCGTGACAAATCCAGTTAGTGATGCCTCAATACGTTGTTCATAGGTTCCTTGATCTCCATCACTCAATCGTCGCGTTGAGCGTTTTCGATGTGGAGACGGTGTTGAAATGCTCTCAACACTCAATTCTTCTTCCGACGCAAACGACAAAGATCTATCAGTATATTCACTAAAGCTGCGATAGATCGACGACTGTCTGGCGTAATTACTGCTTGACTGTATAGTACTCAAATTTGCTGGAATGCGTTCTTCAATCGGACCAATGGCCTCATTATCGTCCAGTTCGTCCTCTTCAATGCCATACCCCATTAATCCCGTAGGTCGTCCATAACCTCCCATTGTATCTGCAGTATTAAACGATGATGATAACCTGACAGATTCACGACGTCCATAGACCAGATCACTACCAATCTTCGAACAGCCCAGCATATTATCCTGCGTATAAAAACTTGCGCGCACTAGATCAGCATCGCTTTCAATATCTGCACCTGCATTTTTCTTGATTAAATTCTACATACAAAAGATAGAGAAAACAAATAATAGAGAGAAATAAGATAAGCATAAATTATAGATATATGGTACAAAATAAACATTAGAGCATGAGACAAGGATTAATCGGTTTAATTCGATCTTTTTTTTGTTTTGTTGCGACTACTACGGGTACTTACGTCCAAAGACCAGAGTAAATCATCCGACACTTGGTCGCTCATGCTGCTACGCGCAGCTTTAATAACAGCGGCGTTGTTATTATTTAAAGTGAAAAATAATGGCAATAAAAACGCCGGAGAGAGATAGAGAGAAGAGAGAGGAAAGGGGATTTTGGTTTACACACACAATACACAAAAACAAGAAAAAACTGCTTTTTGAACGACCAAGAATAGTCAGCACAGCGATGCCACAACTTTTGTTTTGGGCGTATTAAAACGATTGTTCCCTTAAAATAAAAACAGTTTAACCACAATTACTTGTAGGGACTCGATTGCCCCTAACCACGAGATTATAATACATAAGTAGCAGAAAATTCCGTAAACATTACTCATGATTTAGAAATAGTAAGGCTAAGGTTTCTATTATAAGCTTTAGAATTTTGTAAACATTAGCTCATGATTTAGAAATAGTAAGGCTTAGGTTACATATGATTCTATTATAAGCTTTTAAATTCGCCCGACTGTTGATTATTGTGTTTTCTATATAATATAGCATATCTCTTACTGATCCAGAGCTTTAAAACTTCATTCAATATTAGTCCAAAACTGATATTCAAGGAAAGATATGACATTCATATATAGCCTTCTGCAAACAGCCGCGGACCATGACTAGTATGGACAAGCAACTTGTGCAAAACGACACTCTGATAGTGACACAGCCGAGCACAAATTGACGTTCTAAATTATGGCTTTGTATTCCTCCAAAAATGTTGTCATGTGAAAGCTGCAATGTCGGTAGCTAACATGCCTGCATTGGAAAATGGTTGACTTCTCGACTCCAATCGTCGGCACGCTCGTGCTCTCTACCGTGCTAGAAGTCACCTTTTGTACTTTTGTCTCCGATGCTGAACTCCGATCTGTTGACTTCTCTTCCAACTGTAACGAGTGAGAGATATCTTTAAGAATACCATATACAAAGCACGATCATGCAACTTCTACCGTCTCATTAACGAAAAACACGTTGCTACCCTAACTGTTTTATGTGTTGCATTGTCGTTAACAAGCATGCCGTAATCTGAGTTAATTTTCTCGAGTCAGACCTCAGTTCAGGGAGTCTTCTGTCGTCAAGTCCATAAAAACAGCGTGGACTAATTAATACATAACCCAAGGGAGTATCAGGCAAACGATTTGTCTGTGACTTGCAATATTTATCAAAATAGAGGAAGATTAACATGATGCATAAACTCAGAGGTGCTTGTCTTTCAATGATTGTCAAAAAGCTGATTTCGGGTTAAGGCGTAAATTTAGAACTGTGAGACACGAATTAGAAATGTCAAATCATGGAGGTTGTAACGACATCGGGCTGACTGTACTGCTCATTCCTGGATATTCATGTTAGCTCTGTTTCTAAGTAGCATTCTCACGCCACTCTAATTCAGCCGTGTGAGTTAGAACTACTGCATCATGACCATCATTCCGTCCACTTGAATTTACAGAGTCACTTGTAGAGAGAAATCTCTAACCGCTACCTTCTACGTGGAGGTTTGACTCACCGTAGCAAGATCGGCTTTGGGGGGTAGAGCCAGCCATGTATATCGCCAATGATAGGGTCAGACCGTCATCCATGTTCGCGCGAATCAGTTTCCGCACGGAATTCATCGGGTCCAAAACCGCTGCATTAACCAACAACAACGACAACCACGGCTCTTTACTGTTCTCCGCGACTACAATCTCGTCCTTGGAAAGAATGTTGTTCCATTCCTGTATGACAAACTCTGGTGTGCGAAAAATAGCACTGATTGGTAACACAGGAAGCATCTGAATACCATGAATCGCATAGACTTTATCGAGAAACCACGTGTTGTAGAAGACCTTGTTATCAAAGAAAATACCAGTGACGTGGTTTCGCACAATCTCGGGCGGGTGAACAGTGTTATCCGACGTCAGTAGGAAGTACGTACGGATTGCACGCGCGTTCAGACGGAGAATTAGACTTCCCAGATCCTCCACTTCCTTGCAGCCAGTCACTCTACCCCACATAGTCATACCGTAGTAAAAATTGATGTCTTCAGACGTACTTTCCTCGTCCTTGCCTTGGTCGGATAGTGCGACACCACGTGAGTATGAGTGGCCATGAAACCAGGAGAAATGGCGGAATGTAGTGAAGTAACAATCCTTATTGCTTGGATTGGCCACATCGCGCACCATCGTCCAGATCAAATCTTCCAACTCCGGCATTCGAGACCAGTTTGGATCCAGAAACTTGAGAATGGCCGCCGACGTCACGTAGTAGCCAAAGTGATAATGGTGATCATTGTATATTCCATTGCCAAAGTCCGTAAAAGGCTCTCCAGTGTCAAAAATCGCTCTGGAGACGATGCCTCTGTAGAGCGTTTCGTATACAAGAACTGGCGATAAGGTATTGTTCAGCAACGGCTCAATCAATGTCTCGAGCTTGTTCAGACAGAATTTCAGCAACGTCGTGTTCGTACCCATTACCGCGCCGTCCGCTGCCATCAGACACAGCGAAGCGTACTTCTGGAAAAGCTTACCGTTGAAATACCAGCTACCAGTACCCAAGGACCAGTTGGCGTAGATGTCGTCGTGCAGCGTACGAACCATGTGAAACTCTTTGACAATCGAAGGATGCAGCTTGTGAGCTGGATAAAAGTCGATCTCTATGTCAGCTTCAGGCACTACAAATGACCATGTCGTTGACTTTTGACCAACCATTAACCCTCGTGTGGGCGAGTGTAGCAATATAGCACCTGGAGTTTCCGCCGTTGCAGGATACCCATCCATCGAGTCTACCTGGTGTGGCAGCGCGAAGTGCAGTAGACCCGCTGACTCACAGGTACTGCCCTCAACATCCCAGTGAAGCGAGTAAGCAGTCCGCGACTCCATCGAAATAGTGCCGCCTCGCACCAAACAGGACACGAAATCATCGTAAATTGTGTCTTCTGCGCTCTCAGGAAGCACTGCTATTCGAATCGTTCCAGAGTACGCGCAGTCTGCTACGAGCGACGAGCCAGACGCGTTCACAGAGAAAGCCACCGACTCCTCCACGCGGAACGAGATGCTCTTGTCACTGGTATACAGTACCCACGTCTGGTTGTTGTTGAGATGGATGACAAATTTACCTGGTACCGAGTCGTCCAGAGAGATGATGTTAAACTCCGTGCTAATGCGCGGGGTGAGACCGTTGTACGTGGCCGAAACGAAAGCCATGCCGCTTACGAGTGCAGAATCTATGTACCCACCGGTATTAGGGTCACAAATGTGGAGTTGAACACCCATATCATTCCAGGAATATATCTCGTACGTAGTCAAGTTGCTAAACTCTTGCGCCGAAAGAGTTAGATCATTGTGAGCTCCATGTGTGTACCATTTAACGGTTCCATTAACTACAGGTGCTATCTCACGATACGTGTAGGGGTAATACGCCTGCAAACCAAATGGGGCTTCTTTCCGCAAAAACATTGCGTACGGTAGACTCCACGCCGCAGCGTTCTCGGAAAGGTTCGAAGGGTTGGCGTGAATTAGATTCCCCCCACCACTTGTTTGTTGGAATTGGTTGATTAAGGGCTTTTTTAGCGACGTTGACGATCGGAGCGATTTTTCCGAGAGTAGTTTCCCATTTAAACAAAGCGCTTGGCTCATGAGTAAAAAACGGTTCAAAGAACTTATTGCTCGGTGTGACCATGGTCTGTTCAGCAACCGCGCTGTCTCCAGGAACCATGTTTGTCACATCGTTTAAGCTCAGAATATCAGTCAATACATTGTGGTTCACGGTGGCCAGAACGTTTTTTCCTAAAACCGCAATGGCAACAGCGGTGGTTGATATCGGAAACTTCATCAAGTTCCGATGAAGTAGAACTGCGGGTGTGGAGTAAGCGGCAAATGCGTAAATGAAAAGTGGTGAATGAAGAAAGCTAAATGGGTATGACCTTTGTCTCCACCGCCATTCTTTTTAATCCTACGAACCAGTGTTGGCACAAATGTCTTTTTAGTGGTGCGAATTTGACGGTTAGAGGAGCGGGTTTGCGGATGGGTAGTGGGTGCGACGTCGTGATGGCGTTTCTCATGACAAAACGAATAGATTTGATGTAAAATCTAGCACTTTCAATTTTTGAAAGGACTTTTAACCAAGTTTCTGTGCGGCCCGTGCCTCAACCAGAAAAGTGGGCGATCTGCTAGCACTGTATGGATCAATATCAAATCACGAATGAAGCTCGTTGCAACGTCCCATTTACCTTTTATGGCCTGCCTCACATGTGTCACTACGTGGTTGTCACTTCGTAAATTCACCTCGAGGATTGCAACACCAAGGAAACCAACCATAAGTACACAAGTACGTGATCATTTGGACAGAGTGATGAATCGAATACAGCTCGGCGTCCGGTGAATAACAGAAAGCTTTATTATCCCTTAAGCGTTGCTCAGCTCAACCTTCAACAGGACGACCTATATGTAGAGTACTGCCTTGGGACGATTGCGCATGATTGTGAACTACTACGACTTTTTTTACAAATGTCGAACTATCCAAAAAGATGGGGGAGTCGTAAGGTTGACACTATGTGCTTGGAATGCGCTCTGAACACAATTTAATACAGGAGCTCGCGCATTCCGACATAGGCGCAACGGCATGAGCCGCAGCAGTAGCGACGGGAGGTTGCGGCTTCTTAGAAGGGGGAAAACTGTCCCGTAGCGACAGCTACGGTCATACTTGGTTCCTTCACATCCACGCATTAAACGTGTTTCTCTCGAAATGTTGTAAGCACGCGTACACGAAATTTGAGTGGCCGTTTTGCTACCAGACGACTGTACAGAAACGCGTCCACAATCGACGAGTTCTTTGACGCGACGGTCCTGCCCAAACATGCGGATAATTCCAGTTCCACTGTTGTTAGTGCTATCGCTTGCAATTCTAAAGTGCTACTGGACGCTAAATATTGTTGGTTTGGGTCGTCATCACACTCTTTGTATTCATATGTTGGCGGGGCTAACTGAAATCTCGCCAAGCTGTCAATCACTCACGAAGCTTACTTGAGCACAGCCATTGCTCTCACGTACTTGCTTCATGCTCCTTAGTGTCAAATCATGTGCTACATGCATTGTAATTTGATATTAGCGCGCTCGTTGTGTCGACACAACGCTAATGTACCTTCGAGACACTAGTATGGGATACCTTAGCTAGTAGTATTTGAACGTGTAACGGTACAATTTAAAAATTAGGTGCAGAAACGTGGAGCCCAAAATAATACCATAACTTGTAAAGCCTAAGTACGGATGTTGACGAATATAAAAGTGTAATTGACACACGTCGTGCATATTACTTAGCTTTATGTATTAGATAGTAAAGTTCACATAGTGGTAGGTTAGAAACAAAAACTGTCTATGAAATTTGGTTAGAAATAAAAAGATCAATGAAATTTTGTTTACGTTTCGCGTTAAAACGTGGAGATCCGTACCTTGTTGAGGCCATCTGTGGTAGGCAGGTAGACTCATAGTTATTACTTGATTATTTCTGGATCCTAGTCATCCTTACGTCCATAGAACTTGTGAATATTTAGCTCAAGTTAAGTTCTTTAGACGTTAGGACGTCTTCCTCTGACATTATGCGCCGCTGTAGCTCTGCTACAACTGAAGACATATAGAAGACATATACAGTTCTAACAAAAAGCGGGTTTTGCTGTGTAGTAGTTCCAAATGTTTGCAATTGCGGCAAGCAGAAACTGTAGTCTGGGGCGACTGATGTAACAGGCGTAGGCTCAGTTACCACACTTACACATGCGCGTGTAAGAGCCAGGTTTAAAAGTATAAGCTGCCTCCGTCCGATTTGTACGGAAGTATACATACATTGGAAAAAAGGAACCAAAAACAACGTATTTGTTATTAGCAAATTGGAACGGTTTTATTAAATTTGTTTAGTCATCCATTTGACATGACCTATGGTCCCTACCTTTATACCTTCTATGCAAATTTTGTACTGGACGCACACCACTACTTTTAATTTATGATTTGTAGAAAACATCTCTCTACCAATAGCAAGGCCCAGAAAGCGGCTTGGCTGCCGGAGTGATGTGTTGCACGATTGATGAGCTCACGGTTTGCACACTAAAGCACAAGGAGTACACTAACACTTGATGTAACCTCGCTGCAGGACTTCGTATAAAACGTCGTGTGGTACAGCTTTGTGGTGTTGTCGTCCGTCTTACTTCATCGCGTACCAATGCGTCGGACACGGGACAGCGGCAAATTGGCTGAAACGCTACTGCAGCTGTAGCCGAGCTACTGTAGCCAAGCTATTTATGCACTATGTGCAGAGGAAGACAAGCTCAAAGAGCTTCTACGTCTTAGGGTGTCTAACCCTTCCTAGGCTAGCTCGTAAGCTTGTGCCTATCGGTTGTTGCAACCGGGTCTCAAAGATACTAGTATCAATGATACGATTCCTCAGGAGGAATAGAAGGCTCAAGCAGTGATGCTTATAGAGCAGGTTTGGAACTGATTTAGATTTTTGTTTATATTATAACACTAAATATAGAAGCACCAACTCCATACTTAGTGCTAGTCACTATTTACTGGCTCTATAGCCTATTATTATGATGCAAACATGCATAGTCACTATACTTAAATAAGTATAGCGACACGTGGCTCTCTGCCACGATGCGACCCTTCGTACGTTAGGTCCGGTCAAATCGAGCCTACTCTTGTACCCAAGGTACAGCCACACTACATTGGTGCGCCAGGTGTGTGCGTGAAATACACACCTTCGTGTGACCTCGTTACACCCTCCCCCCACCAATCCGTGGATCTGACGCACCCACGACTTTTTGCACTTAATGGGAGTCATTGATTTCATTTTCTACCCACTTTGATTACCTCGTAATAAGTGCTTGCACTTGCAAACAAAGCTTTAATGTTCTGACTCTTGCTCCTTGAGCACGTGTGCGTTGCACACCCGCTTTCTAAGCATTCTTGTGTTACGACACTCGCTCTTTGAGCATACAGTGCATTGCACTCACGCTGAAGCATTTAAGTCTTGCTTATAAGCGTGAAGTGCCAAGCACTTTGGTATTAATATCCTTTGTGTGTTTACGAACACTTGCTTGTACAGCATTAAGTGCCTAGCACTTGCTTTATAAAGCACTTGTCCCAATAGCGCTTGCTCCATCATGGATGATGCAATGCGACGCGACATCTTTGGGGACAATGACAGTGACGTTGCCTCTAGGGGTAGCGGAGCCGAGTCTCCTTCGGGTCATAGTACCCCAAGGTCATCACGCTCACCGAGCGAGGGACGTCGATCTCATTATGTGTCCTCTCCCCCAGAGGGTACAACCGCATTGCACCAAACGCCACCACCTCCCTCGCAAGAGGGTACCGACGAAGAGGTAACCAACCCTCTTGACGCTGCACAGCGTCGTCAACTTGATGACGAGGCCCAGACGGCCGCTTTGGCACGGCCCAAACAGACCTTTTTACGTCGTGATTATGGGTTCGTGCCTCGGAACCCCAATGAGGAAGCTCGACGAGCTGCATCGCAATCTTTGCAAGACTATGTCATTGGGTCTCATGTCCGTACGGCTTGCGAGGATGCAGGTATTGTTGCTCTTCGTAAGCGGCTCCTTACTCCCCAGGAGTTTACGATGAAATCGTATCAGGAGCGACTGTCACGACAGTCACGTTGGGTGCCCATGCACCGGTTGAACGGCATACCAGGGGCACTTGCGCCAGGTGACAAATCTGCACAAGATGATCACCAGTTCACCCGTTGGGTAGAACAAGCATGTAAGCTCAAGCTTGTCAAACTTGCGCTAAAGCGCAAGACGTTTGGTTAGAACGTCGTCTACGTATTAACTTCTCTAAGCTCAAAGTGAAACGCCAACTACCTTCCGCATAAAGGTCAAAGGCTTGTAGGGATCAAGCTTCTGTAGCTGTTGCCCGTACCTCTCACGCGAGTGATGTACCGGCATTGGCTTCTTCTGAAGGTCAGAGTCGAAGCCATCCTACTGACCTTGCTTCCTCAGCACCTAGTGCTAGGAAGAGTCAAACGACAGCTGTCGTCGCATCTGACCGTCCTGGTCAAACTCGTCAGCGGCTTCAGAGCAATCCTGACGGAGGGGTACCTCATACTCCCACGAGTCATACGACTGGGGGTAACCCCTCCACTTCATCGAATATTGGGTATGACCCTGGTGACGACGCCGAGCCAAGAGGAGTTTTACGTGGAATTGTTGATGACCCTGGTCACCAATCAGCGTCGGAGGAGGTCGATGACCCATTGACCTCTCATCTCTCTGAGATTGAGCGTCCCCTGACACTCCTGGAGCGTGATGCTCTTGCATCGGTGAGGTCTCACCTGTCATCGCTCGATGACGTGTCGATCGACACCGTCGATACTTTGAGAGTTATCGCTCTGAGACCTCAGACCGCTTAGCAGCGATTGTGGGTTCTCAAGCCAAGCTTTGATGTCAGATTGACCTCCTGGTACGCCTCCAGCGTCCATATGCACCTCCGATGCCGTACTACCCGCCTCCTTCGTCCGGGGATACGGGGACAACCCCTCGAAGTCCACCGAGGCAGGGTTGAGATATGTCTTAAGTAAGACAACATAGAACACAGGGTGCGTTCGCATCTTTTTCAGAAGTTTAAGCGTA